TTCCTTCTTACTTGTGGGTGAATTGGCTTTTTTTTTTTTTAATCTGAAGTTATAGCCTTTAAAAAATTTTCTTTTTTCCTGTCCTGTTTTTGTTTTCCCCACATTTATTTAGTTTGTTTTGCTATCTAGCTTCCACTCTGCAAGTTTTCCTCAAATATCTTTAAGATTTTTTTTTTTATTTGACAGACAGAGATCACAAGTAGGCAGAGAGGCAGGCAGAGAGGGGTGGGGGGAAGCAGGCTCCCCGCCGAGCAGAGAGCCTGATTCGGGGCTCGATCCCAGGACCCTGGGATCATGACCCGGGTCGAAGGCAGAGGCTTTAACCCACTGAGCCATGCAGGTGCCCCTCAAATATCTTTTTTTAAAAAATATATTTTATTTAGTTAGTTGACAAAGGGAGAGCACACATGCGAGGGGGCAGAAGAGGAAGAGGGAGAAGCAGGGGGGCTCCATCCTAGGACCCCAGGATCACGACTGGAGCGGAGGGCAAACACTTAAGGGACTGAGTCACCCAGGCGCTCCTCCTCAAATATCTTTTAATCCTCCTGGGCAGGACAGGTTGCCCAGAGAAGAGCCCTCCACTCTCCACCACCCCACCCGACCCCCACTCCCCACCTCACACCCCCCACCTCCCCCCTCACCCTGCCCCGAACCCGAGACTCTGAAGTAAACTGCCTGCAGCAGCCATGGAGGAGGGGGTCAGGGAGTTTCAGGATTCTGCCCAGGCTACCAATCCCTTTGTTTATACTCTCTGGAGAGGAGCCTCCAGTCTTTTATAGGGGAAGAGGAGGTGGCCATCTTGCCTAGTGCAAGATGAAAAGTGATGGAGACTGTCCCCGGCTTCTTCTCAGCTTTCAGGCCATCCTACTCTCCCTCCACCCCAGTTCCTAGCACTTTGATGATCCTCTGGTGTTAATCTGGAGTCCATCAATTTTCCCACTGCTAGTCTAAGTGATTAAATCAGTTTCAACCAGTCAAATCTGTTACAACCAGTCTGTCCCCTCATCCCCACTTCCCACATCTCCTTTCTTTTCCATACTCTCTGTTCTAGGATTATGTCTTTTTTTTTTTTTAATCTCTCTTCTGAAGTTCTAGTGGGGTTTTGGTTCAAAATTAAATTAGGTACTTGTAATTAATCTATCCTGTTAATCTGGAAATGAATATGATATGTTCATTTGCTTATATAAGCATCTCCCCGACTAGGAAGTAGGTTTCCTCATGGCAGGGATCTGTTTGGCTCATTTCAGAACAGAATAACTGATCGACCTTGAAAAAAGGACCTCAGTAGGAGATATGATTGTGTTAACCTTAAAAATGAAATGGCCAGGGGGTACCTGGCTGGCTCAGTTGTTAGAATACGTGATTCTTGAGCTCTGGGTTGTGAGTTCGAGCTCCATGTTGGGAACGAAAATCACTTAAAAATGAAATCTTTAGAACACACACACACACACACACACACACACACACACACACAATAAAACTGCCAGTTATTTTACTAGTAAAAATGGATTTATTTGGGAATAGAAGTGAATTGCAAATGAGGACACCTAGGCTACAGCAAAACCACAGGAAAGTCCAATAAATGAAGGAGAGGAACACTATTTTATCGAGAAGAAGGAGGAAGTTGGAAGGGGTTGTTTTGAATAAAAGTCCATTAGAGAGAAGCAAGAGTTCAGGGTGTTGATGGCTTTCCATTGACTGAGTTGCAGCGCTGGTTGATTTCTTGTAGGAGATGCAACATACACCTTTCCCTATTGGGGGCCCTTAATGACTAAGTCTTTTCTGTTGCAATTCTTCATTAGGTGTCTGTAATTGACAATTTTTCCTGTTATTGACATTGAGGGATAGGGCTCCCACTACCATCTCGAGGCCACTTTCGTCAAATTTCCCTTATTAATGTTCATAAATGCATATATACTGGCCATTTGAGAAATAATCATGTAGCCCATGCAGAAACACACATGGTCTGATATCTGCTTATTTAGTTTTAATTTTAGCTTTTCTGGCCCCTTTGTTGCCATGGAGTACATTATAAATAGACACTCAAGGTCAAACTTGGAGAAGTTTTAAATTGAGTGTTAAACTCAGTTTTAACCCAGTATATATGTATGTATGTATTTATTTATGTATTTCAATTAGGCTTCTTGCCCAACATGGGGTTTGAATTCATGACCCTGAGATCTACAGTTGCCTGCTATGCCAACTGAGCCAGCCAGGTACCCCCAATTCAGTTTCAAATCAAAGTTTCTTTTCTTTCTTTCTTTTCTTTTTTCTTTCTTTTTTTTTTTTTTAGTATTTTATTTATTCATTTGAGAGAGAGAATGAGAGAGAGAACATGAGAGGGGAGAGGTCAAAGGGAGAAGCAGACTCTTCACTGAGCAGGGAGCCTGATGCGGGACTCGATTCTGGGACCCCAGGATCATGACCTGAGCTGAAAGCAATTGCCCAAGCAACTGAGCCATACAGGAGCCCTCAAAGTTTATTTTCATATGTGAGTTGTATGTTTCGTTGCTGTATAGTCCTTGTCAAATCTCTTGGACAGTGGACTTTCACCTTACCAATCTAGAGAAATAATGATCTGAATGTGGGTTGTGTCGTATGTTGGCTCAAAAACACATGTCCTATCAGACAAAGTCCATACCCAAGGCAGCCTGTCATCACCTCTCTGGATTCTAGACCTGGAGCAGCTCTAAGACATAGCTCCCTCCAAGTCACATCTCAGGGTGGCCCCAAGCCTCTAACTCCCAGGACTTTGTTCTCCCTGTGGAAAACTCTTTTCTTCTCATTCCATCAAGACCCACCAAATATCTTACCCAAAGCCATGTTTCCATTCTCATCTTCTTGATAAAAGACTTTTTAAATTAGTGTGAGTATAGTTCTTGCTCCCTGATTAGCACTATATTTGTACCCAACTTACAGCACTGAAAACAGTGGGCGTGGTATCCTGGTAACTATGTCCCTATCTGGTTCATTGGCTATCAGTCCATTACGCAACAGAGGTACTCAAATGTTTGTTCAATTGAATTATTGACCTGAGGCCCCACCTGTTTATTTGCTCCCAGTCTAGAAACATGGAGGTAATTATACCGAGTCTTTTATGTTTGTCATAGATTCACTGGAAATTTTTAGGAAAGATTTTATTATTTATTTGAGAGAGAGTACGAGTGGGGGTGAAGGGCCGAGCAAGAGGAGGAGGGAGGAGACTCTATGCTGAGCAGAGAGCCTAATGTGGGGCTAGATCCCAGAACCTTGAGATTATGACCTGAGCCAAAGGCTGACACTCAACCACCCAGGTGCCCCAATTCACTGGAAATTTTTATCAGCCGAGAGAACACTGTCGCTCTACACCCTTGAAAATTCAATTCCTCTTCAACGGAGATCTTTATGAACAGAGCAAAAAGGAGATGTCCTTTGCCCTGGGAACATGTGTATTTTAAAATTACTGGAAGACAAAGATGCTTTAAAAACAAAATCAGGGACACCTGTTGGCTCAGTGGGTTAAAGCCTCTACCTTGGGCTCAGGTCATGATCCCAGGGTGCAGGAATCGAGCCCCACATCTGGCTCTCTGCTCAGCAGAGAGCCTGCTTCCCCTCCTGCCCCTCCCCGCCACCCCTTCTCCGCCTACTTGTGATCTCTGTCAAATAAATAAATAAAATCTTTTAAAAAACAGAAACAATACAAAACGAAAACAACAACAACAACAACCAAACCCATGTAGAGAACGTCTGATTTCAGAACACTGTTACCATACTGAGCAGCAGAGTGAATTCCAGGAACAGAACCCTTATGAGATAAAAATGTCATTGGCAATCAACTCCCCTGGCAGGTCTACTCTAGGAGCTGATGGGCGTGTGAATCAGTTATTACCTTGGAGGAGGGCAATGCCACAACAGGTACCAAAGCTTTAAAAGTGCTCACCCCTGCTACCTCTGTAACTCCATTTTGGGGCGTGTAGTCTAAAGAAATCAAGCTGTAAAGATTCTGGGACAAAGATGCTCAGCCCAACATTGTTTCTCAAATAGGGACAACTCAACTGTCCAATAACACAAATATTGGCTAAGGGCCACCCGCACAATGGGAGTGAATAGTAAATGACCATTAAAAACGTTCTACGCGGGGTGCCTGGGTGGCTCAGTGGGTTAAGCCTCTGCCTTTGGCTGGGGTCATGATCTTTGGGTCCTGGGATGGAGCCCAATGTGGGGCTCTCTGCTCAGTGGGGAGCCTGCTTCCCCCTCTCTCTCTGCCTACTTGTGATCTCTCTCTCTGTTAAATAAATGAAATCCTAAAGGAGAAAAACAAAAAAGCAAAAAAAGTTCTACACATGTATTTCTCTCTCTTTTTTTAAAATATGTCGTTACATACATATATAACCAAGAGGTTATATATGGCTTGCTCCCTCCCCGGAGCATGTGACTCCTGATCTCAGGGTTGTGAGTTCAAGCCCCAGGGTGGGCATGGAGCCAACTTAAAACAAACAAACAAACAAACAAACAAAAAAACCAGACAGGAAATATACCAAAATACTGGCACCTTAATGGTGTGCTAACAGAACATCATCTCCAGAACTTGGTACAAAGCGTAGGACTAGTAAATGTTCAAAGCACTGGAAACAAAATGCATATGTAAGAGAAGAAATCTCAGCACATTCTTGGGCTAAAGAACAGACGTTATCTTTGAAACACGCTACAGTGTGTGGTATTTCCTTCTTTCCAGTTTCAGGTTTCGAATATTCTGGAAGAATCTCATCTTCCTATCACAGAAGCAGGCTAATCTTCGGCCCTTCGCCAGGTGGCACAAAGATGGCGGCCGGTCCTCCCCCGCGCCCCGCCCCACGAGTCGAGCCCTCCCGAGCGCTCCCGAGCGCTCCCGAGCGACCCCGAAGCCAGCAGGAAGCCCGGGAGCCGCGCGGGCAGGAGCGGCCCCGCCCCGAAGCCTGGGAGCGGCGCGCCGGCGCGGGGAGGGGGAGACCGGATGTGAGTGGAGCGGCCATTTCCTGTTTCTCCGCAGTTTTCCCCCAGCTTTGGGTGGTGGCCGCGGCTGGGCTCCGGCTTCCCGTCGGCGGAGGGCGAGGCGGCGTGGACAGCGGCCCCGGCACCCCGCGCCCTGCCGCCCGCAGTCGCGCGCCTGCCCGTCCGCCGCGCCCCGAGTCCGCCGCTTCTCGCGTCAGCGTCCGGCCGCCGCCGCGGCCCAGCGAGCGGCCCAGATGCAGGCCATCAAGTGTGTGGTGGTGGGAGACGGGTGAGTGCGCGGCCCGAGGCTGGGGCCGGGGCTGGGGTCGGGGCTGGGGCCGGGAGCCCGGGCGGGGGCGGGCGCCGGGGCCGGGGCCGGAGCCGGGGCCGGAGCCGGAGCCGGGCGCGCTGAAGCGGGCCGGGAGCTGGCTTCTCAGCGGCGCAGGGCGTGGGGCGCGGGCCGCCACTCACTCCCTGCGGGACCAGACGGCACGGGCCTGGTTCCGGCTTTTTTTCTTCTTTCTTTCTTTTTCAAATTTTTGCTGGGGGAGGGAGTTGCCGACCAGCGGCCGAAGGGAAAAGTGAACTCCACCCTCCCGCCTTCTCTCGGGCCCGCTGCACGCCGGGCGGGGACCCCACCAGCCGCGCCGCCACCCTCGGTCGTCTGACCCTTTCTGGGCTTTTTACATCACCCTCTCGAGCCCGGTTAAGCGCTTCCGTGTGTCCTGGCGGTCAGGTCGGTAGGACTTGACGAATACATGCCTGGGCTGGTTTGGTGACCCTAAACTGATTTACCACGGTATCTTCCGCTGTATTTCGCCGCTTTAAAAAACATTTTTTTTGGGGGGGGGATGTTAATTTTTTTGCTCTTTCCGTGGAGAAACTTTTGAGGTTCTAACTGCGAGGAGCTGGGTGTGATTAAGACTGTTCTTTTCTCTGAAAGTGGTGTGGTCATTTAAAAAAAAAAAATTGGCTTTCGCTTCTTGCATTAGGTATGGGATGTAGCAGAACAAGCTCCCTGAGCGGAGCTGCCCTGTGACTCAAGGCCTTTCTTTTCATTACTGTCTGTGGTGGTTACAGGCCCTAGAGGAAGACAAGACTTGGCTTATACAGTTTTTTTTTTTTTTTTCTCTCACAGAAACAAAAATCTCAGTGTAATCCGAGCAAAATCGTGTGTCTCAGCAGGGCTCGAGTAGTGTTGAGTGGTAACAAGGAAGCTCCAAGAATTATTATCAGTTTCATCAAACTCAGGATGCAACTGGTACATTTCTCAGGTCTTGTAAAGTCGAAGGAAGAGTTTTGGCATGGCTCTTCCTTTTCATTAATATTCCCCAAACTTGTCATTAGGACTGATGTGGCTTTTTTGCCTCCCGAGTTGTGAATTAGCTTATTTAGATGGTTGTAAATTAGACATTCGAAATTGTTTCTGCCACTAATTCAGATTCAAGGACAGTTGAGCTGATTTTTAAAAGGTGCCCATCTGTATGATTTGTCAGAATCATCGTGTGAAACGTTAACACTTAATGGTTCTGTGTATATAGCTAAAAATGACAACTTTCGCCTATTTAGGAATAGGTATGGTCTTTTTTTTTTTTTTTGTCTTAAACTCTTCAAAAGAAAGCTTTACTTCCATTTGGGGCAAAAAATATTCAGCTAATTAGTTTAATAGGGAAATCAGTAAATTGGTTTAAATGAAGCTTGATTTTTTCGTGTAATGAATTAACGTCTATCCCATTGTCTTACGAATGCTCTCACTGAATTTCCTTTAAAAATTAAAAATGCAGAAGCAGTATGCTTAGAGTATGAAGTAATACTTTTTTTTTTAAAGTCAGCTTGCTGCCAATTTCATATCTAACCGTAGTATGTAGTATTGTTAATTGAAAATTTCTGAAACTAAAACATAAGCGTAGCAGATATATTTAATGCTTACAGATAGGGACTTCTGCTCTTCGTATTAGCTTCTTTATCTTAGTCACATACTTGCTGAATGCCTGCTGTGGGATCTGGATCCCTCCCTCAAGTCAGGAAACCCTGGGCATATCACTCATCCGCCAGGACAGGGGCCTCAAGTTGAAGTTGGGAGGATTAAACAAGATGCTGGATACTAACTTCCTCGGAGGTGCTTGGCCCCAGCTATGTGAGTGCCCACAGCCAGCCTCATACTGTTGCTGTTTCTCTTCCTCTGAGGCACTGCTGGGCTCTCTAGGGAGTGCAAGGCATAAAACAAAATTCTCTAAGTTTTCAGCTTTTTTCATACTGTGTTTGACATTGATGTAGACTGGGGCAAAGCCCTGTTAGAAGTGGAATAAACAATTTAAGTTCTATTTATTTTTTTTAAAGATTTACTCATTTATTTAAGTAATCTCTACATCCACTGTGGGGGTCAAACTCGTGACCCCAAGATCACGAGTCACACGCTCCACCACTGAGCTAGCCAGGTACCCCCTCTAATACTTTCTTTTTTTAATTTTCTTTTTTTTTTTAAGATTTTATTTATTTATTTGACAGAGGTCATAAGTAGGCAGAGGCAGGCAGAGAGAGAGGAAGGGAAGCAGGCTCTCCGCCGAGCAGAGAGCCCGACGCGGGGCTGGATCCCAGGACCCTGGGATCATGACCCGAGCTGAAGGCAGAGGCCCTAACCCACTGAGCCACCCAGGCGCCCCTAATTTTATTTTCTTAAGTGGGCTCCACGCCTAGCGTGGGGCTTGAATTCATGACCCTGAGATCAGGACCTGAGCTGAAATCCAAGAGTTGGATGCTTAACGGACTGAGGCACCCAGCGCCCCCTCTATTTAAATAAGGGACTGCATATAGCAAACATGACTTCAGTCAGAAATTTAAATACATAATATTCCATACCAAAAATATTTTCCTGCTTTTATCCAAACAAAGCATGCTTGATGATATAGCTGGAGTGTTCTTTTAATCAAAAATTGTGATAGCTGGGACGCCTGGGTAGCTCAGTTGGTTGAGCAGCTGCCTTCGGCTCAGGTCAGGATCCCAGCTTCCTGGGATCGAGTCCCACATCGGGCTCCTTGCTCAGTGGGGAGCCTGCTTCTCCCTCTGCCTCTGCCTGTGTTCATTCTCTCTGACAAATAAATAAAATCTTTAAAAAAAAAATAAAATTGTGATAGCTGTAAATGTGGGTCTGAATTTTGTGGGGCACAGAACTCAGTGCTATGGAATTTGAGACAATTAAGGGCAGTTTAAACAATAAAGGCAAATTGATTGAAGTTGCATAAATTGCAAGCTTGCTTACCTAAAATACATTCTTGGGAAGTACAGTTAAAAGCTATGTTATAACCGTATTATAAGTAGGATCAATTAGCTTATTTTCTCTATAGATTTTTCGTATGTAGCAGTTCAGTTGGCATTGAGTATAAAATATGAAATGAAATTTTGATACTTTTTAATTCTGCAGATCCTTCTGTTGGTCCTAATTCTGCTAGCCCTTCCTGAACATAGGGTCTTTTACTTTTATTTGGGGGATCTCTATCCCCAAGATTTTCTCCCAGCTTTACTTAGTTAAGACAGCCATCTCACATTCAGATATTTCTAAACCATTTTTAGTAGTGTTGTTTGACTTTCGTTGACTGGGAGTGAGTGACTTGAAACCCCCCTATGTTCACCCCAGATTGGGCTAGTGGTCTCTTCAGCCCAGTGTCTAATTTAGACATTGCTGTCCAGGAATTTTTTTAGTTGAGTGTGAAAAATACCTTCCACGATGATGTCATCTTTTTAGGAATGTACACCACTTACTCCCCACTCGCTTCCATTGAATAATCAGTGAAGGTATGAACCATGAATTAACTGCTTCATGAATTGTCTTTGTATTTTTGTCTCGAGGGATGGGGTTCCATATTTTTGACCTGTTGTAAAGGTGTTTGAATTCTACACAGGCTTCTAAATTTGGTTTGTTATTTGACTCTGATCTTGGTGGTTAAAATTATACTTAATGTCTTTTTTTTTTTTTTAAGATTTTATTTACTTATTTGACAGAGATCACAAGTAAGCAGAGAGGCAGGCAGAGAGAGAGGGGGAAGCAGGATCCCTACAGAGCAGAGAGCCCAATGTGGGGCTGGATCCCAGGACCCTGGGATCATGACTTGAGCCAAAGGCAGAGAGGCTCAACCCACTGAGCCACCCAGGAGCTCCCCCTCCCCGTTTTTTGTTTTTTGGTTTTTTTTAACCTTAAAATGATAATCCTAGTAAAAGTTTGAGGTTTGGGTTCAGTAGAGGAGTAACAGTAATTTTTAGAAATCTTAAAGCCACTTTTTATAATCTTTTGCATTAATCATGGAATGTATTAGTACTTAACTACTTTTTTACCTCAGCATCACCCACCAGGTAGTTCTTGTGATTTTAGTCTTACTAAAAAGGAGATGTTTTACCAGGAATCCTGCTACCAAGGCAGTTACCACATGTCATCAGAGGAATATTTTTCCTCCCACATCTTAATATGAAAAGTTTCACACATACAGAAAAGTTGAAAGAATTATGCAGTGAACACCTACCACTTAGATTTTGTAATCAATATTTTGCTCTATTTCCTTATCCTGTATCTTCCCCATTATCAGGGCCTTTTTTTTTTTTTTTTTAAGATTTTATTCATTTAACAGTGGGAGACCGCGCCTGCAGGGGGGAGTGGCAGGGAGAGGGAGAAGCAGGCTCCCTGCCGAGGCAGAAGCCCAGTATGGAAATGGTTCCCAGGACCTGGGGATCATGACCTGAGCCAAAGGCAGACCCATAACTGACTGAGCCACCTAGGTGGCTTATTTTAAGAGGATTTGATTTTGAAGGAGAATGGGGGTGATGCGTAGTTAGATAAAAATTCTTGTTTTTGAACTCTGTCTTCTGCAGATCCAAATAGCAAGTACTCCAGGATTAGGCTTGGTGGTTATAAAAGGCAGGGGTCTGAAGACTAAAGGCTACTTCAGAATTGAACTTTTAGAGACAGCATCTTCAGCCTTGGGGTTTTTTGAAACTACATAGGTTTTTAACTTTTATTGAAGCCTGTGATGGTGATAATGGTTTTCTATAAGTTGGTTGTGGTGTCCCCGTTAGTGACAGAGTATCAGAATTTCAGATTAGAGTTTGTGGTTTTGTAGCACTAAACTACTCTGTTCATGCATTTTCTGAATTTATTCTCTACATGATTATGCATTTATTGAAGGCCTACTGTTGGAGGGTTCCCAAACCCCATTTCACAGGATAAATTGAGGACTTTGATTTAGGGTCTTTCAGTTATGCAGTAAATATGAATATGTATTTAATACATAGAATTCACATTTCACTATATTCTGTTAATAGATCTTTAAGATCTAGGTACTTTTTGAAAAAGTTTTATTTATTTTAGGGTGAGAGGCAGAGAGTGAGAGCAAGGGCAGGAGTGGGAGGAGGGGAAGAGGGAGAGGGAGACAAAATCTCCAGTAGACCACCCCTGCCACCTCATAATCTCCAGTAGACCACCTCAGCCCAGAGCCTGAGATCATGACCTGAGCTGAAACCAAGAGTTGGATGCTGAACCATCTGAGCCACCCAGATGACCCAAGATGTAGGTACTTTAGATAGTAATATGGGTTTCTTATTTCCTGATCTGGAGAAATCTGGTCTTTCAGTCCTGTTAATAAGATCAGTGTATCTTTTTAAATTCTATTTTATTTTTAAAAAAGATTTTAATTGGGGCGCCTGGGTAGCTCAGTTGGTTAAGCACTGCCTTCAGCTCAGGTCATGATTCCAGGGTCCTGAGATCGAGCCCTGCATCTGGCTCTCTGTTTAGCAGAGAGCCTGCTTCTCTCTTCCTCTGCCTGCCACTCTCCTTACTTGTGCTCTCTATCTCTGTCAAATAAATAAATCCTTAAAAATTATTTTATTTTATTTTAGGGAGAGAGCAAGCGTGAGGGAGAGGGTCTCAAGCGGATTCCTGCTTAGTGCAGAGCCTGATGTGGGCTTCGATTTTATAGCCCTGAGATGGACCTGAGCTGAAACCAGGGGTTAGGCCCTTAACTGACTGAGACACCCAAGCACCCCCCATTCCCTCCCCCCTCCGTGTATCTTTTTTAAATGAGGCAGTGCAGAAGGTTCTTATTTTTGAACTTCCTATACTGTATCCCTTCCCTTTTTTGGCGGCGGGGGGGTAAAGATTTTATCTTTAAGTAATCTGTACCCAGCTTAGGCTCAGACTGACACCCCTGAGATCAAGAGTCAGATCAGCCAGGTGCCCCTCCTTTACTTTTCTAACATGAGAATATTAACCATGTTTCCAGATTTATTGATTGTGCTTCTTAAGTTTTGGTTTATAGATTTTGGTAATACTGAGGTCTAACCCCAACTTTTAAAGTTTCCTTAGAGTTCTCCTGATGGAAAAACAAAGAACATAATAGGAACATAAGTTACTTGCTTTAATCTTGGTTATTTTTACAAGATAGAGCAGGAGAGACACAGGCAAAAAAAATGTACTCATGTGAACTTTGTTCCAGTAGACTCATGTTCATTTGTTAACTTCATGGCAGCTTTCAAAGATTAAAAAGAGGTTGAACTGAGCAGTTAAGTATATATATAAAATTGGAAACTCCAAAGCAGATCGTAACTTCAGCGATCCTGTGGCAACATCAGTTAGGGCTGTGACCAAATGTGGCTTCCATTCTCTGTGTGGGGAGCTCTCACTGCCGGAGCCTGTGTTTACTTTGGCCCCTAGAGTTTGTTTGTGGAGTGTGTTTAAAAGGAGTGAGTAAGTAACACTAAGGGGAGGTAAATAACCGTCTTTTTCTTTTTATCTGTTTTTAAAAACTAAATAAATCAAAGGTTGGACATGTACTTAATTAAAAAGACAGAATTTGGGGGCATCTGGGTGACTCAGTCAGTGAAGAGTAAGACTCTTGCTTGATCTCAGGTCTTGATCTCCAGGTCGTGAGTTCAAGCCCCATGTTGGGCTTCATGTTGGGTGTGAAGCCTACTTTTAAAAAAAAAAAAAGGTCAGAATTTTATTTAATAATTTTTTATAGAACTTAGATTTATAGCAAATACTGTAATGATTGGTTTAAAAAAAATTTTCAGTCAATGTCAGATTATGCCAGTACCTTGAACTCCTTTACAGTTAAATCTTTACAAAGACGATGGCTCAGCTAAAGATGAAGTTGCAGGAAAAAGAAATTTTAGAGTATTTAAAACAGAGTTGGTCATATTTATAGTAATATGGCTTTGTTCTTCATACATACGGAAGAGATTTAGGACAGGCTCTTAAAGGAAGTGCTACTACGGCATATTAACCATTAAAACCTTTATAGCTGCTTATTTTTGACATTAAGAGGCAATATGTATTAACTTTTTTATACAACATTTGTAATTTTGAAAAGAGGTTCACTGGTGACGGCCTCAGACTCTCCTCTTCTCCCTCAGCTACCACATGCAATCCGTGGCTGAGCCGTCTTGTTCTGCTTCATGGCTAGGAAGCTCTTGAAATGGCCCAGTTCTCTTCCCCCTGAAGCCCCCTTGTTGGTTCACACCACTCTTGTTTTCCTGCCTCCAGTCCCAGCTTCCTTCCTCTGTCCTCTTTCCACACTGCAGTCAGAGGCCGCTTCTAAAAATGCAAATTTAGTGGTTTCTTGGCAACTAAAAATCTTCTGGGACTTCCCAAGTAGGATCAAGTCCCATGCCCTTAACAAGAAGAGATGACAATTTCCTCATATTTTCCTTTGCTGCTTCCCCCTTCTTTGTTCTTTAGGTATACTGGGCTGCTTCTGGGCCTTGCCGTAAATGCTGTTGCTTCTGCCTAGAATGTTCTTCCTGTAATGGCTCCACTCCTTCTCTAAGTTTCAGTATACATTGCAGTTTCCTCTTCAGCCCTCCAAGACTAGGTTAGATCCCTTTACTGTACATTTCCAGAGCATCTTTTTTTTTTTTAAAGATTTAATTATTTGAGAGAGGGGGAGAGAGCGAGCATGCGAGTACATGGGCACAGGAGAAACAGCCTTTCAGTGGAGCAGGGAGCCCGAAGTGGGGCTCCATCCCAGGGCCCCAGGATCATGACCTGAGCCAAATGCAGCCACTCAACCAACCTGAGCCACCCAGGCGCCCCTCCAGAGCAGTTTTAGTAACACTTACCACATCTATAATTTTATGCAGTGACTGCTTCTTCCTTTGTCACTTAACCTCACCGATTCCCCGAGGTCTTGGTCACGGCAGGATCTTGAGCTCCTACTGCTCTTCCTTGCGTAGCGCACACTTTGTCGGTATAGATTGAAATAAAATTAATGCTTTCAGGAGTTTGTGACGGAGTTGGAAGTCTTGTGTTCCTTTTATAGTTGAGAACACTGAGGTGTGAGGCGGTTGAAACTTACTGCCAATTCCAGCCAGCAACTGATAGAGCGCTGGCCGTGGGCTTCAGGTCCGCGGTGAGGATGAAGCATCTCAGCCTCCTGCTCATACAGGTTTGACATTCTCAGCTTTTAAGAAAATGTGTGGCCAGTGAGTCGTTTTTGTTCAGAAAGCCTTTACGAGTTGGAAGCTGCTTCCTCATGATGTAATGCTTGACTCCGGGAGGTCTTTGCGGGTGGGGGAGTTCCAACTTTTAAGCCCTATTTTAATAATAATATGAATAGAACAAGTATTGGCAAGACTGGATGGGCCTGTCGTCTGTCCTGGCTGAGAGGTTTTTGCCTTCAGCTAAGAGTGCCACGAAACTAGAAAAGCACTTAACTTCTTTATGGTGAGTCCTCATTCATAGTAGTTGAGATTGAGCAACAAACTCTTACAGCCCAGAACTTCATTGTGTGACAGGCATGACCTTGGTAAGCCGACAGGAGACAGCAGGGAGATGGCCTCCTTTAGGGAGAGCATTTAGTGAATCCTTAAGCCAGGGACACCGGCTCTCAGAAGCCCTTGAAGTCACCATAAGAGTGTCAGATTTGGAAACCATTTTTGGCTAAGGGTGCAGTGATACTAATTTTTAGGAGATATTGGCATGAAAAAACATTTCGGGCAATTGGGAAACTTTGAACCACCACTCTGACCTCTGCTTGATGGTACGCAGTACCCACTACCGGTTGTGCAGGAGGCCCTTCTGTCTCTGGAGGATTCTACACGATTCTTTTCTACTTTCTCCTCTTTGCAGCTGTTTGGAAGTTTATGCCAGCATCCTTGAGCCGCAAATTAATATGTCTGGAATATATTTTGTTAGTTGCTTTAAAAGCTTATGGTGAGGTGCGCCTGGGTGGCTCAGTGGGTTAAAGCCTCTGCATTCGGCTCAGGTCATGATCCCAGGGTCCTGGTATGAGCCCCACATCGGGCTCTCTGCTCGGCAGGGAGCCTGCTTCCTCCTCTTTCTGCCTGCCTCTGCCTACTTGTAATCTCTGTCTGTCAAATAAATAAATAAAATCTTAAAAAAAAAAAAAAGCTTATGGTGATTGGGGAGGTGGTAAATGAATACGGATGAATTAAAGTGAATTCTGTGTGGCTCTTTGTGGTTCACAGTTGTGTGTGTGGTGGTCGGTGACTAAGCACTCTGTTAAGAGAACAGTTATTACTGACGCCGGAGGGAAGGCTTTCAGAGGTGGTGGGTTTGAGCTACCACTCTGAGGCTGCAAGAGACATTACTTAGCAACCAAGTGGAAGTTGTAGAGGAAGGCTGTGTTTGCATATTAGTATTCATCACAATGAGTTGAGGATAGAATTGAAGAATCTTGGATGGAAGACTGGTACAGATGTTCACAGGAGAGACTTTCAGTTTAAAAATCTTGTTCCCGGGGCGCCTGGGTGGCTCAGTGGGTTAAGCCGCTGCCTTCGGCTCGGGTCGTGATCTCAGGGTCCTGGGATCGAGTCCCGCATCGGGCTCTCTGCTCAGCAGGGAGCCTGCTTCCCTCTCTCTCTCTCTGCCTGCCTCTCTGTCTACTTGTGATCTCTGTCTGTCAAATAAATAAATAAAATCTTAAAAAAAAAAAAAAATATTTAAAAATCTTGTTCCTGTACAACCTGGGCTTATTGAACAGCTGTTTCTGACCATGAATGTGTTCATGCCATACTCCTAAACAGAACACGAAGGCTCCTTTTTGAGAAATTTGAATTTATTATAAATTTCAGGATAAAAATGTGTAGTGTTAAGTAAAAGATTATGGAAACCGTTTAATGCTAAGTACTTGGTGTATACTCCTTGATTTTTCTATAAGTTTAACAGTAATGAAAGGATTATATTCATGTTGACTGAGCAACTTACACCATTTTTTTCTCTCTCTCTAGAGCTGTTGGTAAAACTTGCCTACTGATCAGTTACACAACCAATGCATTTCCTGGAGAATACATCCCCACTGTGTAAGTATGGAGTTAAACTGGGAATTAACTTGTCTGTGATGGTTTTTTATTTTTTCTTTGACCATTGTTTGGCTATAAAGGCATTCCTAATTTGTACATGAACAGATCTGATTAATTTTCTTTCCAAAAATTCACCTAAGTCTAATTATAAGGTATGTATTTGGGCTTTTTAAAAATACATAATGAAAGAAAAAAAAATACGTAATGTAGGGACGCCTGGGTGGCTCAGTTGGTTAAGCTGCTGCCTTTGGTTCTGGGATCGAGTCCCACATTGGGTTCCTTGCTCAGCAGGGAGCCTGCTTCTCTCTCTGCCTCTGCCTGCTGCTATGTCTGCTTGTGTTCTCCCTCTCTCTCTCTCTCTGACAAGTAAATAAAATCTTAAAAAAAAAAAAGTAATGTAAAGTTTTTGCATTGTGACGAAACACAGCTTTTTTTTTTCTTTAAGATTTTATTTATTGGGGCGCCTGGGTGGCTCAGTGGGTTAAGGCCTCTGCCTTCGGCTCAGGTCGTGATCCTCGGGTCCTGGGATCGAGCCCCGCATCGGGCTCTCTGCTCAGCAGGGAGCCTGCTTCCTCCTCTCTCTCTGCTTGTCTCTCTGCCTACTTGTGATCTCTCTCTGTCAAATAAATAAAATCTTTTTTTTTTTAAAGATTTTATTTATTTATTTGACAGAGAGAGATCACAAGTAGATGGGAGAGGCAGGCAGAGAGAGAGAGAGGGGGGGGGGAAGCAGGCTCCCCTTCCAGCAGAGAGCCCGACGCAGGACTCGATCCCAGGACCCTGAGATCATGACCGGAGCCGAAGGCAGTGGCTCAACCTACTGAGCCACCCAGGTGCCCCAATAAATAAAATCTTTAAAACAAAACAAAACAACAACAAAGGTTTTCTATTGCTTGACAGTAACTTGTTCTAGTTAAATGGAATAGCTTGTCCTTTGTTTCTTGGGCGTTTCTCCAGGTGCGTGTTTTTCTTCTTACACCACAGCCCATTTTCCCTCCACTTCTTACCTCCTCGTGCATGTGCGCTGGTACATCTGGCCTGGCAGCCTCCAGGCAAACCTCAGGGACCCTCCACACAACAGTAACTCAAGACCCCAACCTGTGCCTAATGTTCTGGGGCTGTGGACTGACTGTGTTTTCTCTCATCTGCAGCTTTGACAACTACTCTGCGAATGTTATGGTAGATGGAAAACCGGTGAACTTGGGCTTATGGGATACAGCTGGACAAGAAGATTATGACCGATTACGTCCCTTATCCTATCCGCAAACAGTAAGGATTACTACTGATTTTTAATGCGTCCTTCTGAATGTATAATTTTGACTGTAGTTGCAAATCACTTGTGGGTTTGCTTACGCAGTCGGCGCTTGAACACGCAGGTTTGATCTGCAGAGGTCCACTCAGACCAGGACTTTTTTCCATAAATACATTACAGTACTGTGAGTATATTTCCTCCTCAAGATTTTCTTAGTAACATTCTCTCCGGCTTACTTTAGTGTAGGAATGTGGTGGGTTTTACACACAACGTGCAGAACATATATTAATGGACAGGTCACTTTATCAGTAAGACTTCAGTCAACAGCAGGTGTTTTATTAAAAAGTTTTCAGGGAGTCAGAGTAATACCTGGAGTTTATGGCTGCATGGGGTGGGGGGGCGCGGCAGTACCCCTACCCTCCTGCGGTGTTCAAGGGCAGCCATGCTGCCATCTTTTGGGCGTATTAAGTAGTAGCATGGTTAAGTTCAGTAGTTGAATGTTCTAGATGCAGACCAAGGATTTGTCTGTTTACTGAGTGTGGTGCCGTGTGTTTATCTGCTCTCATCTCAATTTCAGGACCACCGTATGACATAGGTCCTGTGTTATTCTTGCAGACCAGTTTCAGTAGGAATTAGTTGCAAGGTCAGTTTGTTTTGTGACAGTTTGGTACCACGGAGCTTTTAAAAATCAAGTTAATGACTTGTCTTTGGGTTTAATATGACTTTTCTATAAAACACATGCTCATCTTTCTATGGCTTTAGTACCTAAATCATTTTTTTTTTTTTTTAAGATTTTATGTATTGGGGCGCCTGGGTGGCTCAGTTGGTTAAGCGGCTGCCTTTGGCTCATGTCATGATCGCAGTGTCCTGGGATCGAGCCCCACGTCGGGCTCCCTGCTCAGTGGGGAGCCTGCTTCCCCCTCCCTCTCTGCCTACCTGTGATCTCTCTCTCTCTGTGTCAAATAAATAAATAAAATCTTAAAAAAAATTATATTTAAAAAAAAAAAGATTTTATGTATTCATTTGAGAGAGAGGCAGTGAGAGAGAGCACAAGAGGGGAGAATGTCAGAGGGAGAAGCAGACTCCCTGTAGAGCTGGGAGCACGATGGGGGACTCGATCCTGGGACTCTGGGACCATGACCTGAGCCGAAGGCAGTTGCTTAACCAGCTAAGCCACGGCGCCCAGTACCTAAATCTTCAGTTTTGTAAAAATATGTCCAGTGTCCAGTCAGAAAAAATTCGAGATTAGCTTTGCTTCCATTCTAGACAACTAAATGATGTATATACCAAAGCGAGTCAGGTCCATAGCTGGTGAAAATACGCTTAGAAGCCCTTTTCTTAAAATAAGCGCTTGTCTTATTTGTACCATTTGTTTATCTTGTTACATGTTTGTTCATCATTTTAACAGTAAAAAGACTTTTAAAGAGACTCAGGTGACTCAGTGGCCGAAGGAGTACACACTAGAGGCAGTGGAGCGAATTCCGCGGGTTGAAATCCCGCGCTCTCGCCTCCTAGCCCTGTGACCCTGGCAGGTTTCTTCACGGTCCTAGTCATGAGCTGTTTCCTCATAGGATTAGATGAGCGGTCTGTGTCAAGCACCCAGAACAGTCCAGGCACATCACAGACACCACAGTGCAGGTGCCGTGAAGAGCCGCGGATCTGGAGAGCTCTTCAGGTCAGCGTGTACGGGGCCCAGTGAATGGAAGTGGCTGTACGTGCTCTCAGCCAGCCGGGAGGACCAGAGAGTCCGGGTCGGGGAGACATCCTGGAGAAAGCAGGCGCTGACCCTTGGGTGGATTTGACCGTCACGGTCTTGGAGGGTGGGGAGGTGGGCGTGGGGCGCGTGTAGCGTGGGTGAAAACAACCAATCATTTCCAGTCTACCCCCATTTTTTTCCCTTAAACTTAACTTCCTATTTAGTAGTGATAGTCTTAGACTTATTTTTTATTTTTTAGATTTGTTCATTTGAGAAAGAGGGTGAGAGCAGGGGAAGGCAGAGGGAGAGAAAGAATCCTAAGCAGACTCTGTGCTCAGCAGAGCCTGACGTAGGGCTCAATCTCAGGACCTGAGAGCACGAGCTGAGCTGAAACCAAAAGTCAGAGACAACCAAGCCACCCAGGGGCCCCTAAACTTAGTTTGCGCGTGCACAGATGGGGGATGGGGCAGAGAGAATCTTCACGCAGACGCCCCACTGAGTAAAGAGCCCCCTTGTGGGGCTCAGTCTCATGACCCTGAGATCACAACCTGAGCCAAAATCAAGAGTTGGGTGCTCAGGACCCTAAATGGACTGAGCCACCCAGGAGTCCCTCCCCCCTTCTTTAGTTTTAAGCTTTTGCATACAGCTTTTCTATGCAGTAGTCGTCGTCTTTTGTATTTATTTCCTCCTGGAGGAATTGCCGGATACAGTCTCTTGAAGCGGTGGATTTTTGCGATTGTCCTTTAGCTGAGTTGCAGTAGCGGCCCAGACAAAGACCAGACTATAAAACGGGAGGGCTGAGTGAGTGGTATCTCAGTTAATCTCCAGCTAAAAATGACCTGTGAGGAAGTTTTATTATTTATTTGTTTATTGTGATGAAGTTTTAAAAAGCAGCTTGTAATCACCAAATGGCTTGGTCTTCAGTATGTTTCAGAAACTATTCTAACCCCAGTGGGTGCTTGATAATTCCGGATTTTCAGGGGATTTGCTAACCTGTTGACTGGTAGAGTAGGAGTCTCCAACCCACTGGATACATCTGGAAGGGCGGGGTGTCCTTTCTGAGAAATGAGAACCACCTCCTGTGACTCAAGGGGTCGCGGCAGGGTGCGGCCTTTTTCTCTGAGGGAGTCACCTTTGACTAAAGGTGACTTGGCCACATTCCCACTCTCTACGGAGAAACTGTAGGTCCAATAACAGACCGAAGCAAGCCACAAGGTATGAGGCCTGACAGCCAAGGGGGTGGGGTGTGGTCCTTCTGGGGCAGGACTTCTAAACTATTTATGTCCCATCTGTGTAACGTGCTATTTTCCTGTCAGATACTTGGATGTGTAAAAGGGGGTAAGGCATGATTCTTGCTCAGGTGCCTCCCACACAGGGTATAACACACCACACACCAGCACAGGGGTTATCGTGGTGCTTAGAGCAAAGAGGGGAGAGCAGCGATCTGGAAGTTAAAGACGTGCCTGCTGGACTCCTTTGGGGATGAGAAGGTTATCTTGGCTCCTGGGGAATAGGCCTGGTGGCTCCGGGCTGCCAGAGGGGACCCCCTCTGAACTTGGCACCAACTGAACTTGGTCTCCGGTTGTTGACCTGGTCTGCAGGCCCGTTTATGTGGCTTTTCCCTGACTGGACCCCGAAAGGCCCATGGGCGACTGCTTACCCAGATCTCCCCTCTCCTTAGGGCTTTGTAACCCCGAAACTGACGTCCTGTTTCCTGTGGTCATTTACCGCTGCTGTCCTTGTTTGTGGGCTGGCTCCAGGGAGCGAAGTGGGATATGTGTAAGGCATCTGTTTCTACTTCATTCTCTGAAAGATGGAGTAGAAACTGTCCTTCACAGTTCTGTTTTTCTCAAGTAATCATTTAGGCTCTTCTATCCTTGAATAAGTTACCTTTATACTCTTTTCAAAAATACCTTGAGTTCTGCACCCACACCTTCCGTGGCCTGCTCCCCATCGCGGCGTGGTCCGTGCAATGCTCAGGCCCAGCGCTGTGCATCGTGTCCAGCCCACCGTATTTGCCTTCTTGTTCCTGGATTTAGTGGTGTGAGTGGGAACCTGTGTGACTGGCCAGACTCACAACCTGAGCTCTGTGCAGGTCTCAGAAGCTCACGTTGCCCCACCGGACCGCTGGCCACTGACACGCTGGGCCTCTTATCTTCTGCCTGAGCTCAGCCTGAGAAGGGCTAGACTGCTGGACATTGGTCAGAAGAAAAACAATAGCATTTAGCTTGGCTGCTTTGATTTTCAGATAGCTTTCTACTTTGCTGAGTTGGCTGTTAACCAGATCTGTGTCCTCCAGCCAAAGGTCACTAGGAACGCACCTGTGGCTAAACCAGATGGGATTTGTCCCTCTGTCCCTAGCTAGACACACACCTTGGAGGCTCTGGGGTGCGTGACTCCCATGAGGGCTTGAGGAGGCAGGGCTTGCTCTGCATGGGGTGCTGGCGGGAAGCAGGGTAGTTTTAGGGCGCTCTAATCCATCTCCTCCAGAAGGTGGGGATGAAGCAGGGCCAGAGCTGTGACTGGTGCCAACATGGGCTTGTGGGCTGGGGAGGGGGATGTTTGGTGTTTCTGCAGTTTGCACAGTGACCTTTATCTGTGCTTAGACAAGACCGTGGTCTTCTCTTTATTTCTTCACTTTTGGTCTCATTTCAGCCTGGTCAGTAGGGACTTTGTCTGGCCTCAGCATCCTGGGAGATTGTCCCGTCCCACGGGAGCTTGCTGCGGCCGAGCTGCACGCCACGCTGCCTCCTGGGGCTCAGGCTGCCCCTCTCTGCAGTGCTTGCTTTCTTAGCCACTCCCCATGGATGCCACAGGCACCGTGTCTTTGCCTTGTGTATATCCCGCTCCTTTTCCTGGTTCGTAGAATGCCTGTCATGAAAGATGTTCGAAGCCTGGAAGTAAAACCAGGTTGGAAGGCCTTTGGAAGAAAGGAGAGGAGGAGCAGTGCTGGTGCATTCGGAGCTGGGAGAGGCCAGCCGTCCCAGAGTCTGCAGCCCACTGCCGCTCTGCCGCGAGCTGACCCGGCTCTTGCCGATGCCCTCCACACACGAGGGGGCGGCGGTGGTTTGGACCAGCTAGGGGGAGTGGTGATAAAGTCTCTGCAGGCGCGGTGGGAGCCTGTGTGGTTAGGAGTGCCCGGCCGGCACAGGGAAGGCGGCGTCCCAGGCGGAGGAAAGGTGAGCCTGTGACGCAGGACAGCTCAGGTGGAATGAAGAGGCTCCAGGACAGGCATAAATAGCGAGCCGCACGGACTCTGCGGGGTGTTGGGTTAGAACGTAAACGTTGGAAGGAATTGCTGCTGGAAGAGAGAAGTATCAGAAGCCCATTTTATTTATTTTTAATTTATTTTTATTTATTAGAAGTGGTAGGTTTGTTTTTTTGTTTGGTTTGTTTTAGAGGATGGGGAGGGGCAGAGGGAGAGAGAATCCTAAGTAGGCAGTGCGGAGCCTGATGCAGGGCTTGATCCCATGACCCTGAGATCATGACCAGAGTCAAAACTAAAAGTCAGATGCCTCACTGACTGAGCCACCCCGGCGCCCCTGGAAGTATTTTTTAAAGCCATATTTTGTGTGGGGGAAGGAGGAGAAAGGAACAGGCAGATGGTACAATGTTAAATGTGGGATGCAAAGCGTGTATTTTCATCAAAAAAGATGTTCTTAAAAATTGAAAGGGGCAGAACAGATGTGGTTGGAGGATATTTTGAACTGAAGCTGCATTTTCGTGGCCGATGCCCATGAGTCTCTTTGTCACAAAGATTTGGCCTCATGTCAAGGCCTCGGGGGCACACATCTTCAAAAGCAGCTGTAGATTAAACCCGGATAGTTCCAACAACTTTAATATTCTCAGAATTGTAGATCAGAGAAGCTTGAGTAAGGTGAAATTAAAGCAATTCTCTTGTCCGTCTGTCTCTTCAAAGAACTGCAGGTTTCTATGTTGCTTGAAGAGCAAGTCTTTCCATTTTTGTTGGAACAAAGGAGTGAATTGAAAGCACTGTGGTAAACACTAGAAATGCTGTCCCTTCTGGGCAGTCCCGTCCAGAGAGGCGGGGGCTTGGGGGGGATGAACGGTCCCAGCGTGGCAGTGCTGTTCGCTCCAGTAACGCAGGACCCAAATTCCAACCGCCCTCCCAGCATTTCTGTACGGGAGACTTGAGGCCTTCACAGCTCTCCTACCTGGCCGTGCTTCTGGGGCACCTTTCCTCTCAGAAGCCTGTTTTTACAGACAGGTGCTTCTCCCGTTCGCGGTGGCTTCGGCTGGGCTTGTGTCTCAGAGCTCGGACGGAGGTCTTTGCCGGGCGTGCCTGTTGCTAGGGAGTGCCCGCGGCGGCCCACGGACGCGCCTTCGCGCGCAGTTCATGACTGGCCGTGACCCGTGTGCTTCCTCGGGTGTGTTGTAGCTTCTGCTGGACAGGGAGCCCTCTGTGTGCTGCCAGGGTTAGAGAAGAGGGGCTCCCCCCAGCCCCCCGATATTTGCCTGACCTGGTGTCTCCACCATCATTGACCTTCACGGGGTTTGGTGGAGTGTTTGGGGTTTGGCATCGTAGGTGTTAGATAATCATCTGCTTTCAGATCTTCTGAAGGGTTGAGACAGAATTCTGATGGAAAAATTACGGATTATATTAACTTTTATTTTCCTCACTTTTTACTAAACTGAAACAAAGTTCTCATGCATTACTAGGTTGCAGAAACGTATGGTAAGGATATAACGTCCAGGGGCAAAGACAAGCCGATTGCCGTATGTAAAACTTTCAGTCGACCTCAGTTTCAAGCTTTATCTGTTCTCTCGTTTCACTTAGTTTTCCCAGGATTTCCTCTTGAGCCTCACGTTCCTTGAGTGTTCTGTATTTAATTCACTCAAGGTTGGGTTTTGCTTGACAAAATGTGCTTTCAGTAGAGCGAGACAGTTTACCTACTAGCTTGAAATAAAGCGGTTTGTGAACTGCCTGCTCCCCTCCGGCCGAGGGAAAGCAGCGGCTCTCAGAAGGGGCCTCTCTGGGCGGGTTGGAGATGGAGGCGTGGAGGCTCCCCCCGACCCCGGAGCACGTGCTTGAACCGGCGTGGGACTAACCGTGGCTGCCGGGGGCTCCCCCGCTTTGGTGTCCCGGTGCAGCGGGCCTGTCTGGGGCATGGCTGTGGTGCTGGGGAGCTAACCCAACCTCGCTTGGAAATGATGTAATCAGGTGCCCGGATGCCACGGTGATTCTTGGACAAGCCGGTGCATGCGCTAGCGTTTTTAAAATGTCATTTATAAAAAGCTGTTGTGTGGGATGTTTCTCTCCCTTTCCAGGTACGAGATACCAGCAGGATGATTGCAAGTGTTAGCTTGGGAACTGGGTACATTTCACAAAGCAGCATAGTGGCCTTTTTCCAGGAAAATGTCTTAAAAACCTAGCATTTTAGAAACTCTTAGGCAATTTTAAATACAGGTAAATATTTAAATTCGACTTTTTACACAGTACAGAATGATGTATGGCTTACAGTCAGTCAGAAATTCTTCCAGGTACTTCCTCAGCACTGACCTTTCCTCTGAATCTCTGCTTTGGCCGCGACGGCCCCGCCTGCAAGTCCTCCAGAGACCCTGCGTGGGCCTGAGGAGCCGCCAGCCGGGAAGACGCCCCTCACGGGCTAGAGCGTCCTCCTGCACGGTGGGGTGTGCTCGCAGAGCCACCAGCCGTGCCCCACTTTGTGCCAGGGACTCTGGGGGCAGTTCTTAAGGAAGCGGTTTAATAGCAGCCCAGTGGTAACCAAACGTTATTGAACATGCACATGGGGAGCTTACAGAAAAGCATGCCAGTGGTAAATGGTTTTAAAATAGACTCTTTTTTGATAAACTGAGACCACACTTTACAGAAATACCAGAGTGGTATCTTGACACTTGGTTTTGTCCCGGTATATAAATGGGGCCATTAAGTTCTCAGTGGGAGTTGGGAATGATGTTAAAGAAGCCTCTCGGGGGTCTGGTTTGAGGCCTCCCTGGATTCAGTAAATTCTAGCACATTCCAGTAAATCTTCTCCCCTCCTCTCACAAGTAACTGACTGCTTTGTGTGCTGGCTCCGCTTTGGGAGCCTTCTGACAGAATTGAAGGGGAAACCAGGGAGTGAGCTTTAGACACAAGCTACTGGTACATAATACGCGTTTTGTCTCATGATTGATTCCCAACAGCATTTACAAAGCAAAGTGCATTCGTCATTGTAAGACCATTTCTAAACGCCTCCCTATTTCCTTTTTGTAGGATGTATTCTTAATTTGCTTTTCTCTTGTGAGTCCTGCATCATTTGAAAATGTTCGAGCAAAGGTAAGTGGGGATGTTTTAGAGAAACATTTTGGTTCATAATGTCATTCCATTCTCAGGAGGCAAAAATACTATTTAGTGAAAGGAGTTTTAATTATTTAAATTGATCTTGTAATTCTGACTTTATTATGTAGAGTCCTAAAGTTTCAGGGTCTGATTAAGAAATGCTGTGTGCCTTGTTAAAATAATGAGCACTTTGGAGTCCCATCTGGCGGGGTCATCTAATAAGAATGGTGACCATGACTTCGAACTCCTGGGTCTCACATACTTCCTAGTGAAACATGGTGGGGCAGGATGTCCTTCAGTTGGGATCAGGAATGTGTTAAGAGGGGGACAGGGTGGCAGAGCTTAGACCTCCGCCCAGTTGACTCTTCGCTGAATAGGAAGGATTCTCGGAGATGGTCTAAGAACTTGACTCATTTTACCACAGATCGTTGTTTTGGGAGGGGGACCTTCCCTTCCCCCCTTGCTCTTGTTGGTGAGCAGAGCCTCTCCTGTAGGCTCGTCGGTCTTGGGCACCCAGCTTGCTAACCGAATGCCAATAGGTGGGCCCGTGGTTCTGGAAGGTATTGCAAGGGGGTGAGCAGGGCTGGAGGGCGGGGTGGCTGACACAGTTTGGCGCTCGTGGAAGTGGAATTTAGGTGGAGGATGCTCATTAGGGAGGGAGCATGTCGTGACTTTTTTTTCCTCTCTCGCTTTTAGTGGTACCCCGAAGTGCGACACCACTGTCCCAACACCCCCATCATCTTGGTGGGGACTAAACTTGATCTCAGGGACGACAAAGACACGATCGAGAAGCTGAAGGAAAAGAAGCTGACTCCCATCACCTACCCGCAGGGTCTGGCCATGGCTAAGGAGATCGGTAGGACACCTGCGTTGTCACATCTGCTTTGTCTGTGCCTTTATTTCTGTGGCGGAGATGGGAGTCCAGTCTGGGCAAGGAGAGCGCGAGTCTTTCCGACTCCAGCTCTGTTGTCCTCTGGGGAGCCAGCCAGACAAGGCCCTTGGGGTGAGCCTTCAGGAGTTGGGGCGCAGGTCAGGTGTTGCTCTGCTGCTCCTGGCGGGCTGGCAGGAGGCAGGGCCTGGGGAGCCGCTCCCTGCCCTCGAGGTGGCTGGAAGGGCAGGTGCGTGCGCGTGGCAGGCCGTGGCGGTACGAGGCTGTGTTTCTCGGCAGGTGCGGTAAAATACCTGGAGTGCTCAGCGCTCACGCAGCGAGGCCTCAAGACAGTGTTTGACGAAGCGATCCGAGCGGTTCTCTGCCCCCCTCCCGTCAAGAAGAGGAAGAGAAAATGCCTGCTGTTGTAAATGTCCGCCCGCTCCCCCCACCACCCCCCGTCCCCCTCGGAACCTTTGTACGCTTTGCTCAAAAATGGTGGAGCCTTCGCACTCAATGCCAAGTTTTTGTTACAGATTAGTTTTTCCATAAAAACCATTTTGAACCAATCAGTAATTTTTAGGTTTTGTTTGTTTAAAGTGTAAGACTTCAAACTTTCACACTATATTAAAATTTAGCCCTAAAATGGGAAGCTTTCTTAAAGCCTTATTTTTCAAAAGCCCCTATTCTTGCTCAGATTAAGAGTTGCCAAAATACCTTGTGAACTAAGTTGCGCTGTTGTGCTGAGAACACTAAGCACTAAGCCGTTCAAGACCTGTGTCTTTCAGGAGAGCCGGCGTCCCCGGTTTGCACCCGCAGACGCACGCTCATTTGTGGTAGGAGAGCGGCCCAGCCTCGCTCCTGGGCTGCCGCCCCGCCACCCTCTAACCCCGCGCCACCTGCTAACACTGTACTGTAAGTCCTCATGCAGTGAGTGTAGTGACTCAACTCTTCAGGTCCCTCTCTCAGATTTTGTAGTGAGACTTTTATTGAAAAAGTGTATTTGCTTTTGCTGAGATTTTGAACAGAGCTCTTCCTCCCACATCCCTCGGGCCGTGTGTCCACTCCAGCTGCGGGTGCCCGGGCCGGGGGTGCGCAGCACGTAATGCGATCAAAGAATGAAGACAGTATTTTGACAAAATACGGAGGTTAATTTACACTACATTGTACATGTCCTAATTAAACTGAGTAAAAGTGTCACGGGTAAAAACATTAAAGGTTAATTTCTGTCCAGTGCAGTAAAAGATGAAGAAAGGTCGGTATTATCACTAAGTGTTTTAAACTTTTCCTTTTTTCTTAGACCTGCCATCCCTCCTGAAATTGGGCATTTAATTCATCTTTGAACTGGTCGTTCCCATAGTTGCTCACTTAGCGCTTTTCTTATAGAACTCCTTCTTAATGAGCAATATGCCTCCTTGTATTATAAAATCTTTCTGATAATGCATTAGAAATTTTTTTTGTAGATTAGTAAAAGTGCATTCCTGTTTCCTTGTTACTTTATTCAGAGCTAATCGCTTTCCTTAGTTTTCTAGTAACTAGGTGTAAAAATCATGTGTTGCAGCTTTACAGTTTTTGAAATATTTTAGATATTCCTAAACTATGAACTTTCTTAACATCACTGTCTTGCCAGATCACCAGTACTGTACCCTGACTAACGCTGGCCCTCCCTTCTGCCTCCCCCCCCCCCCCCCCCCCCCCCCCCCCCCCCCCCCACCGGACACACACCTCTCGCTCTGCCTGACCACGTCCCCTCGGGTCTGTGGGGTTCCGTGAGCCCGTGCTCGTGCTAATCAAGTTCTGTACAGCTTACCCGCTGGCAAGAATACAAGGTTGGACCTCTCAACCACTAGAACAACATTTTTTAAATTGACAGTTGCAGAATCGTGGAGTGTTTTTACATTGATCTTTTGCTAATGCAATTAGCAGTATGTTTTGCATGTATGACTTAATAAATCCTTGAATCATATGACTGTAATACTTGAATTCTTGAGAGCTCGAACAACCTCCTGGGGTATGTGTTCCTTGTCTCACCTAAAAATCTTGGGCCACGGGAAAGCTTCATTCCTAGGGCTTGTTTTTCTTGCGGGGGGACAGGGAGGAGCTGGAGGAGTCTTGCAAGCACTGGTGCTGGGGGGCGCGCTGGGTTTTGCACCTGTCAGATGCTGGGGAGATGGTGACGTCCACACTGGGGCGTGTGTGTGCACAGCGTAGGCCAGAGCTCTGGGCTGAAGAGGCAGGTGCTGGGAGATAGGGAGGAGGCTGGTTTCTAATCAATCTAATTAAGATCCTTTCTAGAGCCTGAAACTGTACTATGAACTTGTCATGTTAGAATCAATTTCCTAAATTATCCTTTTTATTAACCTGAAGATTATTTTTGAGTATTTTTTAAAGATGGGCAGTTTAAAGACCATGGAGTTCTAAAGGCTTGCTACAAAAACAGCAGCCTTCTCCCTTCACACCCTTTCTAAAAGCAACCAGTTTGAGTCCTTTTAACTCATCTTTGTTATCTCCATATGCCGAAGTGACTTTTTTTTTTTTTTTTTTTTACCTATTAGATCACCAGTTATGAAAGGATAGAATGTGAACAACCAGATGGAAGAGCTGCCTAGGGCCAGGTATGGGGGAGGGGTGCGGAGCCTCCACGCCCTCTCCAGGAGCCCCCTCCCCAAATCTCCACCTGCTCACCCACCCACAAGCTATACCCCCCCCCCCCGCCCCCCCGTTTTTGGGTTTTATCCCGCAGGCTTTGTTGCACAGTCCGGCTTACTAAATGGCACTTTATCTGATTCAGTCTCCAGCCCCTCCCCTCCCCGGGGCTCTGGCTAAATCACTTGATTGCTGGCTGCATTTTTCATTTTCAGCGGTTACCACAGATACTCTTGTGCATGGCAGCCGCCCCCCCCCCCAAACACACTGTTTCCCATTCCGTCAAGAGAATGATTGGGGTTGGGGGTCGCTATTTAGTGTCTGTGACCGTGTGACTATTCCTAGCTCAGTCCTGGAATAACAGAATTTGGCTGCGCAACTTCTTGTTTTTTGCCCGGGATCATTTGTACTTGATTTGCTTCACTTCCTGTGCACTTCATGTTTCAAGCGAACCTCCATCTGCAGGCTAAAGCGCTCAAGATGTCGGCATGTATTACGTGTTTTACTGATTTTCATTTTCCTAAAGTCTCAGAATCCTCGGGCCACCATTGCCTGATGGGTTGATCTTTAGTATAATCCCCAGGGCCAGCGTGGGGCTCGAACTCATGACCCTGAGGTCAGGAGTCACACACTTCTCAACTGAGCCAGCCAGGTGCCCCGACTCCTTTTTAGTCTGTGTCGTCTTGACCACCACCTCCCAGAGCTTCCCGCGACGGAAGTGTGTGGTAATCTGTTTCTCAGCCCTTGTGTCTTTGAAAATAACTTCATTCTCTCCTGGTCTTTTCTGGCTGGTTGGAAATCCCAGGGCGGAGATCAGTTCCCCTCAGTTTGGAAGGCAGCTCTCTTGGCCTCCTTGGCCATTTCTGTTGTGTGGGGTGAATTTTTGTTGACCGGTTCTGTGGGACTGTCACCCTGGCTTGCATGTCCTGGTCTGCTTTTTTCCTTTGTGCTTGGGTGGGCTCCGTGTGCTGCCATAGCTGTGTGCCTCCCACAAGCTCTGGACTTCTACCTGTCGCGCTTCTAATTTCCAGGCATTCTTCATTCTCCACTTTCCAGTCTCGGCATAAGTTTTGTGGTTGCAACACTTTCTCTGTTCCCAAGCTCTACATCTAAGTAGTCTCTTCTGGTCCCATGTTCCAAGTGTGCCCGCCAGGCCTTGGCCAGTGCTTAAAGGTTCAGAGTCCGCAGAAGCAGATTGCAGGGGCGCCTGGGGGTGCAGGTGGTTAAGGGTCTGACTCTTGGTTTCGGCTCAGGTCATGATCTCAGGATCCTAGGAGTGAGGCCCTGCGTCAGGTTCCACACTCAGCATGGTCTGCTTGGGATTCTCTCCCCCTCCACCCCTCCTCCTTATGCTTGCTCTAAAATAAGTACATCTTAAGAAAGGGGGAGGCACATTGGAAACTGGGCACCGCACGTGGTGTCAAGGGGTGTCTAACTAAGATCTTTGAGCTTCCTGCCACTAGGAACATACAGGAATTGTGTGTAGAAGCAAAACTTGTACCAGCTGAACACTGTCGCATTTCAGTCACAGTTTTTTAAAATGGCCTTTGCAGGTACTCAGAGACTAAGGTGGTGTTGGTGTGAGGGCTGAGAGGCCCCGAGGGAGGGGTCTCCAGAGGTCAGGTTGCCCTGGACAATCTTCAGAGGGGGTTCTGGCATCTCCAAGTGTGAGAAGCTGAGGAGCGTCATCCCCTTGCCTCCCACTGCCCTGCTATCCGGGCCCCTGCCCCAGAGCAAACCAAGGGCCAGACTTCCTGATTCCCTGCTGCGCTTTGGGGGGGAGGCAGAGTTGTAAGCCAGGGTAGCTGGGCCCTTCTCCATGTGGGAGTCTGTTTACCTCTAGTCAACCCACGTTCCTTTTCTTCTTTCCCCATCCTTAGGGATTTTTGCTTTTTAAAGAGATCATTTAGTGTCATTTTCTGGCACTTCAGTAGGGTTAAATCAGATGCCTGTGTGATCTTCACCCTTTAGCCCAGAGCTCCAAGAAAGCTTAAGGCTTCATTTTTGTTGTTTACAGTAGACAAAACTTTTAAAACAGGACTGCTACACAACCAGCCGGTAAAACGGACCTTCTTGGAAACATCCAGTGGATGAGTACATCACTGTCCAAACACGAATGACACATGTAAGTGCTTTATTAACTCCCTCTGAATCCGCTGGCTGCCCTCCAAAAGCCAGTATATCGTGTGGAAATGAAGCAGTCCGCTTGATGTGGAGACTGGCGCGCTCAGGGGCAGGGGCCTAATTCCCAGCCCGACCTCGGGGCCACCGGGGGAAAGCCTGTTTGTGCCCTGACAATGGCGTATACAGGTGTGTGCAGCCAGGAAAATCCCGTCTGCAAAGTAAACTGCACATCTGTATGCCTGGTTCAGACTCAACAGTGGTGAGACCCTGAAGACCCCCATCAGTGAAAAGGTGGCATCAGAGGTGGGAACGCATCTTAACACCTGTCTTGGATTCCCACCCTCTCCTGGGACAGTTCTCAGATCACTAAGGTTCCCGAAGCCTCCCGTCTGAGTCCCATCCTCTCCGTGCTCTCTGGACAACTGGCTCTGCTAATAGCGGGATCAGAACGACTTCCCAAATTAGCCAGTGATTTAGAGGACCCTCCAGTTCCTACCAGTGGACATCCGAGGCTCCGGCATCAGGGGAATCCCTCTGATTTTGCCGGTTAAGAACAGAAGCGGGAGTCTGTCGTCCTGCGGCAGCCTGCATGAGCCCCGGTTAGACCACATCCACGTTCGAGCCGCCTCCAGCTGGGCAGAAAGCGTAGCCGGCCCGGCCCGACACCACGCTGTCCAAGGCTTTCATCAGGACGTCCGGCATGTGGTCTGTCAACATCTTGGGGCCGATGAGTATTTTGCTGAACTGTGATTCGTGGGACCACCTCGCGCGGTACCGAGCAGCAGAACGGCAAAACCTGGGAAAGACGGAGGTGAACTAGCCGCGCGGCCCTTTAGGCTGAAACCTGTGCGTTTCCGATCTGCGCGGACCGAGCCCCGGCAGCTCCGCGCCGCGCTGCCCGCACTCACCTCCCCGCGGTGCCTTCTTCCTCCAGGTGGATGATGCTGCCGGGAGGGTAGAGGTGGGGGTACTTGGTGGGGGACTCCGAGGGGGAGTCGTTGGAGAAGCTGTAGGTCGGGGACCCGTGCGACAGAAGGCTCTGCTCCCCCAGAAGCGGCTGCGTCAGGTCTCCCTGGGTGCCCCCGTCCAGCTCCGTGGGAGAGTTATCCGGGCTTCCTCCGAACAGCTCGTACCGGCACCCGCGCAGCAGGATCTGGTACTGGCGGACAGACCCGAGAAGGCAGCCTGCTGGTTGCTCGGACCTCGGCCCCGGAAGCTCGTGCTGGGGCGCAGGGACCCCCAGAGCTCAGACCGGCCGTCTCTCTAAATCCTGGATCTCGGGGGCGGGGATGTCAGGGGCCTCAACTCCTGGGTCTCTTGGGCCGTGAAGCCACATCAAACAGGAAGCAGTACGGAGAAACCAAACCCTGCCGACTCTGAGGAAAATCACTCTTCGCTCTTCTCGGACAGTTCTGCCAACCAACTTTACTCTTTCCCTTAATGACATTCATTAATTCTTTTTAGAACTCTGAGTGGGGAGCAGTTGGTAAGGAGAAGCTTATTCTAAATACATTTTTTTGAGGAGCAACAACAAAAAATGTCAGAGAACCGGTTAAAAAGTGAAAATCCCTTCTAAAAACTTTATACCCACTGCCTCAGGGGATATATCCCTGCAGAATCATTTTTAAATCTGCCCTTTAAAATACTTTTCACTACACCATGGCTGTCTTTCACCAGTGGTAAACATAACTTCCGGCCACCACTGTTAACGACTGCAACAGTCCCCGGTATACTGTACTTGGACTTCTTAAACTCTGTTTGGCAGATTTGTTTTCTCAGCGTTGGGACCAAAAGCATCAAAATACTGTTGGTCACAAGACAGGCTAACAAAGTACGACAGATAGCAAGTCCCCTCAGTAGGACAGGGAAGGTTCTACTGGAGGGTTCTCACTGTGGCATCCCGTGACCAAGCGTGTACCGCCTTCGGCATCGCCTGCGGGATGCCGGACCCAAGTCCGTACGGAGGGCGAAGCGCTCCAGGCAACAGCCTCCAAGGCCCTGGTCGAAGAGGCTCGGGAGCTGGAAGCACCTCCCCGTGGCCCGTCCAGCCTCGGACCCCCCAGATGCGCTCACAGGCCCCCCACTTACCTTGGGCTTGTTGCAGTGAGCGATCACTCGCAAAATTCTCTTCTTCAGGTCTTCCAGGTTAGTCACACTTAACCTGTTCGGCAAAAGACCAGATGGAGGCTCAGTACTCGGTGTCTCGGCCGCCCCGAGCCCAGACGAAGCATCCAGCGGACTCACCGGGGAATGACATCCTTGCCGAGGACGAGTGACACGATGAAGGTCTTAGAGTATTCGTAAAGGGATTTGCTGAAATTTCAGAAAAAATCGAAATTAGGTTTCAGGATTAGATTGCCCACAAAGAACTCCAAAGAGAAATCAAGTTACTCTGCCAGGTCAGTGAGGAAAGTTTTCAGAGAATAAAACTGTTCTCTTCCCTTTAAAAGGAATGAGAAGTAAAACAGACATACTCTGATCAGAGCAACTTATCTGCCAGATTCTAGGAAAGCCACAACCTCCACAGTCAGATCAAGACGGCAGATGACGCCAGTGCTCGTGTCCTATGACCCAGCAGCCCCGCTCAGGGGACCACAGAGATGCTCTGGGCCGGTGGTAGAAAGAGGCAAAAGGCTCTTCACCGCAGCTCTCACTGCTCGTCACAGCAGAGGCTGGGAACACGAAGGGCTGTTTGTGGAGAACGGTTCAGGGCACAAAACACGACCCGCCCGCAGAGCACCAAGTCCTTCACGGCTGCCCTGTGCCCTGTGGGGCGACCTCGGGATGTGTGGCCAAGTCAGAAGAGCCGGACACACAGGGTGTCAGGCGGACGCTGCCTTTACCCAGGAGGCGGAGGGATGGAAAGATACACACCTTCTCTCACACAGAACTAAGTGAGGATAATGGAAAGCTAAGTCAAAACCCAATACCTACTTGAGGGAAGAAGGACAGAGAAAGGGAGATTGCTTCTTATTTTTTGGAAGATTTTACTTAGAGAGTATGAGCTGTGGGAGAGGGAGACACAGACTCCCCGCTGAGCAGGGAGCCCGATGTGGGGCTCGACCCCAGGACACTGGGATCATGGCCTGAGCCAAAGGCGGCCGCTTAGCCATCTGAGCCACCCAGGCGCCCCGAGAAAGGGAGATTTCTGAATGTACCTTGTTTATAGAGTTGTCTATGGAACCATGTCATTGTTTTATAGAACCGTAAAAATGAAAACAAAAGCAATTCCTAAAATCAAAAGCCAAATGAAACAAACAAGCCTAACAGTGCTACTACCAGAAGAATTACGTCAGTCAAGTGACGACAGCAACAGAAACGTGGCTGCACATCCCTAGCGCGGCTATCACATAAGAACTAAAGCAGCTGCAAAAAGACCCCGCACTGCCTGCAGCTGTCATCCTGAAACTGACCCCCCGGTCCGTGCACACGTGTGCACACGCGTGGCTGTGTGGGCAGATTAAACACCAAGTATATAATCACGTAATTTCAGTAAAAACCCTGATCTTTAAGTTGAAAGTGTCAATGTGAACTAAAGACACATTTTCTCTTTGAAGTAATGACCGTTTCCAACCTCAACCCGCGGGAAAGGCCTAGAAACCGTGACCTGCCTGGTGGTGAAGAGATACCTGGTGTCTGGCTTATAGTCGCTAAATACCATTTCCCACTCGGAACAGTCAACGCTGCGTGGAGAAATGGTGGAGTCCGCGTACTGGCACAGCGTTTAAAACCTGCAATCACTCTCTAGTGCCAGAAAACAAAACTGTCAGACCCCCAGCGTTGTGTCAGAGAAGGCTAGTTGGAAGGGATTCCCGCGGGCCAAAGACAAGACAGTGTGAACACGAAAGCATAACTGCAAGGGACTGAGATAGTTGAAAACAATTCCTGTCCGCCTCTGGAGACTGCTGGAACACCAATTCACTACTCAGAACGCGGCGAAATAAAGACTCACGCATTCATGTGTCTCCTGCTTACGCGGTGAGAAATAACAGACCAGAGTAACCGACTACTTGGAAGAAAAGTTCTTTCTAATCTTCAGCTACTGAATGCAGAAAGAATGACAGACTATTAGCATTTTGCAGCCTCTACTAGAACTCATATCTATCAATTAGTACTGCCGACATTACAGAGACCAGCAGACATGTGCCTCCCAACGCGGTGCAGCAGGAACCACACGCCACGGCCACCACATACTGTTGTCAAAAAATTGACCCTGAGGGGCGCCTGGGTGGCTCAGTTGTTAAGCATCTGCCTCCGGCTCTGGTCATAATCCCAGGGTCTTGGGATCGAGCCCTGCATTAGGCTCCCTGCTTAGTGGGAAGCCTGCTTCTCCCTCTCCCACTCCCCCTGGTTCCCTCACTGTCTCTCTGTCAGAGAAATAAAATCTTAAAAAAACAAACCAACCCTGAATCGATCAAATTCCTAGACATGATTACCATTTTCTAGGACATCCAGCCAACAGTACAGAGGAACATGTTAAATGACACAGTGCCTATCCAAGAGAAATCCGGAATGCGGATTCTCTAGAACTAACCTGGTTTCAGAAATAAAGAGGGAACTGAACCATCTATACATTAGAGGAGAATTACAGAACTTCCCTATCTATGGATGCCTGTACACATGCCATTAAATTTGATTTAAAAACAAAAATACAGTTCCAAGACAAATGCACTATATCCAATCCGAGAACCCTGTTTGGAATTTAAAGAAATCTACTGTAAAACATAAGATATTTGGGCGAACATACTGGAATCAAATTTTAAGTGCTCTATGCTTTACACACACATTAGGATATCTACAGATGAAATGACAGGTCTCATTTGCTTCAAAGCACTCCAGCCATGGGGATCTACGGGGGGGGGTACGGTGGGGTACATGAAGATTGGTCAAGTTAACAAAATGAAGCTGATGAAATGGTGGCTTATTATACTATTCACTTAGGTTCGAATTTTTAATTTTTGTATATGAAAATTCCATCATAAGGCAACAGTTTTAACATCATCACAAACACTGAAGAATCAGTTAACTAGTAAACACATCGAAAGAACTATCCAAATTGTAGCATGAAAAGCAGAGATCTAGAGGTATGAATGAGAGGTTGGAGATGCAAAATGAGAGCAAGGTGGGGGCACGATGCTGACGGGAGACTCTGTAAGTGGGAGAGCAGAGGCAGTCACGTGTGACGAGGCCCTCACAGATTTGAGAATCTGAAGCTTGCTTGAGCAAGATATACCGACACTGAAGATCATACACTTACGAATAAAGCAAGCATCCTCGTAACCTGGACATATCTTAGTGAGTAAAAGAAAATGCAACACAATCCTGCATATTGTAGGATTCCATGTATAGGACATTCTGAGAAAGGCAAAACTATAGTGACAAAAAAGGTCCTTGTGCACTTGGGGATGGGTGGAAGGGATCAACTGCAAAGGGACACAGGACATCTTTTTTTTTTTTTTTTTTTAAGATTTTTTAAATTATTTATTTATTTGACAGAGAGAGAGATCTCAAGTAGGCAGAGAGGCAGTCAGAGAGAGAGGAGGAAGCAGGCTCCCTGCGGAGCAGAGAGCCCGATGTGGGCCTCGATCCCAGGACCCTGGGACCATGACCTGAGCTGAAGGCAGAGGCTTTAACCCACTGAGCCACCCAGGAGCCCAGACACAGGACATCTTAATGGTGATCCTTTCAGCCCCAAAAGGCCAAAAGACAAAGTTGTGATATATGAAATTAGTTTACACAGTAAAAAAACAAACAAAAAAAACAACAATCACTCTGTGGATGAATTATAATAAGCAAGTCTAACAAGGCTGTTGGATATAAGATCAAAACAAATTTCTATGAGATTGATATGTCAGCAAAAGATGTGTAAGACTAGAGAAAATCATAAAACTTAAGTGAAAAGATACTAAAATTAAAGAGGCCCTGAATATCTGAAAACTGATTTCATGTTCAAAGGTGGGAAAACTCAGCATCTGTCAGTTACCTCCACACTGAACTAGAAAAGAAAGGCAGATGAAAGAATTCTAATCTGTTTACGGAACTTGCAAAATTGATTCTAAAATTGGCATGGAGGTGTCAAGGGCTAAGAGCCAACATGGTCTTTCAAAAGTAAAAGGCACAGGGATTTGCACTACTAGATGCCAATACTTCGTGTTAGCAGGAGGGAAGGGCTAAGATAAAGTGCTGTGTTGGGGGCGGGGGATGAAACTGGATCCCTGCCTCACACCACACAAAAACAGTTACACAGATTACAGACCTACATAAAGTTGAAAGGGCAGACTAAAAGCTGTTAGAATAAAGGAAACAAGCTCCATATCCTTAGAATATAGAAAGGTTTTTGTTTGTTTTAAAGATTTGTCAGCACAAGCAGGGGAAGGAGCAGGCTCCCCAGTGAACAGAGAGCCTGGTGCAGGGCTCAGTCCCAGGACCCTGGGATCAGACCTGAGCCGAAGGCTGACGCTCAACCGGCAGCCTCCCAGGTGCCGCATAGAAAGATTTCTTAAATAAGAAACAAAAATCCAAAAACCATAAATGAGAAGACTGACAAATTAGTGTTAAAATTAAGAAATGGTGACCTGAAGACAGGAATCCAGGAAAATACAAAACGCATCAAGGAATGGGAGAGCATATTCGTGACACATACTTGGAGCCACAAAAGAACCAATTACAGAACACACGTGTTCAGAAACCGGTGACCCAACAGAAAAATGGCCAAAAAGAACAAAAGCGGAAATACAGCCAATAATACGTGGAAAGAGCCCCGACTTCGTTAGCAATCATGGACGTGCAAATTAAACCACGATGGAACATCACCACACACCAGTCAGACCAGCAAAAATCTCTTACATCTGAGATTAACTGTTGGTGAGAATGTGGAGCGTGGTGAACTCACATACACTGTGGGCGAGCACACACTCGCACAGCCGCTCTATAGAAGGAGCACATGCACACGCCATGATCTACAACCCGGAGAGGGTCCACACAACCGCCATGCATCGCCAGTGACACAGACCATGTGAGATCAATACAGGACAGAATATAATCAGAACGGACAGAGCCACGTCCTATAGGCATCGAACATGATGTGGACCAAAAAAGGGAAGTCACAAAGTAACAATTAAGTACTATTCTAGCTCTATAAGCTTCAAAAAAATAGAGGAACGCCTGGGTGGCTCAGTTGGTTAAGCAGCTGCCTTCGGCTCAGGTCATGATCCCAGGGTCCTGGGATCGAGTCCCACATCGGGCTCCTTGCTTGGCGGGGAGCCTGCTTCTCCCTCTGCCTCTGCCTGCCATTCTGTCTGCCTGTGTTCGCTCTCTCTCCCTCTCTCTCTCTGACAAATAAATAAATAAATAAATAAATAAATAAAAAAAATAGAAATAAAATTTCAAAACCATACAAATCCAAACTATTCTGTGGAGACCTGCATATAGGTGGTACAACTACTTTTTAAAGCAAAGGAGGAACTTTCACACCGATCAGGACGGTGATGATCCGTGGACAGGAAAGGAGGTTGCGTGGGGAATTTCGAAGGCACTCACTACTCTCTCTCCACGTGGTTACAGAGCTGTGTATTTTTCAACGAGCCTCACTGAGGTATACACAGCAAAACCTCCCACTCCCAAGTGTACGATGGCTTCTGACAAAGGCACAGAACTCCCAGCACCCCCCTGCAAAATGCAGGGCATTTCCATCGCCCCCAGGAAGCTCCCTGTGTCCCATGTCCATCAATCCCACCCCAAGCCCAGACAGCCACTGGTATGCTTTGTCATCATATGCTTCTGTCTTTTCTAGAAGGTCATATAAACGGAATCATACAATAGGTCTTTTGTGCAGGGCTTTTTTTCAGACAGCAAAATGCATCCAAGCTGTATGGATGTTTGCTGCTTAGTCTCAAAAATACGTTTTATGTTAATTGTTCCACAATTTATAAATTCAGTTATTTTTTAAGAGTTACTCATGTCTTTTCACATGTACAAGTATGCATTTTAATATAAAAAAGAACTTAGGGGTGACTGGAGGGCTCAGTCTGTTAAGTGTCTGCCTTTAGCTTAGGTCATGATCCTGGGGTACTAGGATTGAGCCCCACATAAGACTCCCAGCTTAGGGGGGAGCCTGCTTCTTCCTCCCCACGCCATATTCTCTCTTGAGCACATGCACTCTAACAAATAAATCTTTAAAAAAAAACAAACTTCTAAAAATTTTAAAGGTACACCAATATTTATATATAACTGACAGACTTATAATAATGAGAAAAATGAATATAAATATCCATCAGAAGACTAAAAATGCCATAATCAGAGGATAGAATACTAAGCAGCTCTATAAAAACATGTCCTCAAACAATATTTAAGGATATAACGTATATAGAATATTATGTTAATTTATAAAACACCACCCCCGGGGGCACCTGGGTGGCTCAGTCATTGAGCATCTGCCTTCGGCTCAGGTCATGATCCCAGGGTCTTGGGATAGAGCCCCACATCAGGTTCCCTCCTCAGCGGGAAGAAAGCCTGCGTTTCCCTCTCCCACTCCCCCTGCTTGTGTTCCCTCTCCCACTGTGTCTCTGTCAAATAAAATCTTACACACACACACACACACACACAGCTGGAAGTAAATAAACTTAAATAGTTACACTGGTGAATTCTGGGTAGAAGACTTTTGCCCTTTCCACTTTTTTATATTTTCCAAAATCTCTATGATGGATATGAATTTTTTTTCCTCCTTTTTTTCATTTTTTAATTATAGCATAAATTTCTTTTATAACCAGGGCAAAAGATATAGGATTAAGTATGTTGAGTAGGAAAGAAAAATGTACCTTTCAAACTTAAAAAAAAAATCAGTAAACAAATTCAGTAAATTTGCGTAGGGCACAACTCAAGAAACATAACTTGTAGGTTCAGTTTCAGACTGCTGCAGTCAAGCAAATATCGCGGCACAGCGAGGAAATTGAGCTATTTGCTTTCCCAGTGTGTATTAGGTATGTTTACAACACAAGGCCTGCCGACCACTAAGTGTGCAGTAACATGTCTAAAAAGCCAATGTACAGCTTTCAGCAAGTCATGATCACGGATCCCAGATCAATATAATAAAATACGAAATAATGAAAAAATTTAAAATGTTGCCAAGAACTATTAAATGTGACAGAGACAAAAAGTGAGCAAATACTGTTGGAAAAATGGCCCCGAGAGACTTGCTTTTAAGGCAGAGATGCCACAAATCTTCAAATCACTTAAAAGAAAGACAGAAAGAAAGAAAGCAAGCAAGCAAGCAAGCAAGCATTACCTGCAAAACACAATAAAACAAGGTATGCCTGTGCAGAAATCTGTTCCTATATAAACTAATAATGAGCTATCAGAAAGAAAAATAAGAAAGCAATCCCACTTAAAACTGCCCTGAAAAAATATGATGGAATAAATCTAACCAAGGAGGTAGAGACCTGTACCCTGTGAACAGGAAACCACGAAGAAAGAAAAGGAAGACACAGATATAACGGGAAGATGTTCCGCGCTCACGGGCCGGCGGAATTGATACCGTCACCATGTCCACAGCAGTCAGAGCCACCTGGAGTCCGTGCAAACCCTATCAAACTTCCAATGGCATTTTCTCAAGAAATAGACCGAATAATCCTAAAATTTCTGTGGAACCACACAAAGCTCTAACTAGCCAAAGTCATCTCTCTCTCTCTTTTTTAAAGATTTTATTTATTTGGCAGACAGAGAATGAGCAGGGGAAGGAGCAGAGGCAGAGGGAGAAGCAGACTCCCCACTGAGCAGGGAGCCTGATGTGGGGACTTGATCCTGGGACTCCGGGATCGTGACCTGAGCTGAAGGCAGACGCTTCACCAAGTGAGCCACCCGGGCGCCCCAGCAAAGCCATCTTTAGGGGCAGAACAAAGCGGGCAGCCTCGCGCTCCCGGACTTCGAACTATGTTACAAAGCCACAGTAATCACAGCTGCATGGTCCTGGCATAAAGACAGACACGGAGCCCAGAAACACACCCAACTATCTGACAACAGAGGAGCCAAGAACACATGGTGGGGAAAGAACAGTCTCTTCGACTGACGGTGATGGGAAATCGGAAGCCCCGTGCAGCAGCATGAAGCCAGACTCCCCACCTCACATCACACGCGCGGAAAGAACTCATGACCGGTTAGAGACCTGAACGCAGAAAACTCCAAGGAGAAAACAGGCAGTAGGCTCCTTGACACCGGTCCTGGTGACAATTTTTTGGATTTGACCCCAAAAGCAAAGGTGACAAAACCAAAAATAACCAAGAGGGGCTGCATCCAACTGAAAAGCTTCTGCACAGCAAAGGAAACCCCCAACGAAATGAACGGGAGGGAACGTGCGCCGGCCCCGACACAGGGCTGATACCCAGAATAGAGAGAACTCACACAAGCCAACAGCAAAAACCAGTAAGACTCAAAAACGGGCAGAGGATCGGGTAGACATTTTCCGCACAAAGACCTGCACACGACCCACGGGCACGAAAGGCGCGCGACGTCACTACTTGGCGGGAAATACAAATCAAAACCACAGTAAGGATCTCCCCTCCCAGCCGTCAGCTGGGCTAGTATCAAACACAAGAACAAAAAAGCCCCCCAAACCAAGAAACGTCCGGTGTGGGTGAGGACCTGGACAACAGGGAACCCTCGTGCGCTGCTGGGGTTAGGTAAATCGGCGCAGCCACTGGGAAACAGTATGGAGGTTCCTCAAAAAGTGGGACGTCCAACTACCGTATCATCTGGCGACTCCACTTCTGGACACGGATCCAAAGGGAACGACTCTCCTGACCTGAACAGCCGCCCGTACCCCGCGTTCACCGAAGCACCATCTCCAGCAGCCGGGACCGCAGCCCAAGTGTCGGCTGGCACAAAGTGTCGATGTGCCTGTACATACCCGACGGCCATAAAATCACGAAAACAGGCTAAAGCAGAATAAAGCAAAGGAAATCCTGCCATCTGAGGCTACACAGATGGACCCGGAGGGCATTATGCTATGCGGAATAAGACAGACTTGTCTTTACAAATACTGGAAGACTGCACTTACATGTGAAATCTAAAAAAAAAAAAAAGAAAAGAAAAAGAAAAAGAAAAACCCCCAAAGCCAAAAACCAAGCTCGCAGATCTAGAGAATTGTGGGTTGTTGGTTGCAGAGGTGGGGCTTGTGGGACAGGAGAAGGGAGTCAAAGGGCACAAACTCCTGGTTATTAGTAAGTCACGGACACCGACAGGGACAGAACACACAGCACGGCGGCCACAGTTCACCTGCTGGGCTGCGCATCTCAAAGTTGCTGAGAGAATAAATCTTCAAGGTTCTTACCACCAGAAAAAAAAAAAAAACCTCTGTAACTAGGTAACGTGGCAGATGTTCTCTTCTCGGTTTCCTGTAATCACTGCACCATCTGTACAAATACCAAATGACTGCCCTGTGCACCGGACACGAACACCAACCGCATCTCCGTTTACAGAAAGATCTCAGCCCCGCACCGTCGGGGGAAGCAGAGCTCCGCTCACGGGCCTGCGAGGGGCTCTTCGGTCTGTCGCAAACCCAACAGCATTGGAAACAAACGGGGGCCGCGGAGGAGAGCGCGCGATGGAAGCCCAGGGGCCAGCAGTGCGGAGCGGGGACTGGCACTCGTCCGCGGCGCCCCGACGGCACGCACCTCAGCAGCCCCCTGGGCGGGGAGAAGGCGTAGCAGCGGATCTGCGGGTAGGAGCTCCGGAGCATGAGGGCCAGCAGCGCCGCGGCGCCCGCCCCCAGGCTGTGGCCCACCACCACCAGCCGGTACTCCTGCGGAGAGAGAGGAGCGGCAGCGTTAGCGAACAAGGCGACCCGCGGCTGGATGACGCACAATCAATGAGAAGTCAGAATCTCACGGGAGCAATGCTGAAGGCTTGGCTCAAAATCCCATCACTGACGAGGCGCTGGTAAACGTATCTGGCGGCTTGAGAAATCCCCTAGAAACACAGATAAGAGAAGGCGGCCATTGGTTGTCGGACAGGACAGGTCCCATCACACGACAGGGCTAGGGCATGCGTGCTTCCGTGCGTCCCCGGAGCCGAGGTGAGCACCCGGGGATCAGCAGCCGCGGCTACTGCGCCCCGCCGTGTTCTTGGTCCCCAGCGCAGGGCCGGGCACAGAGCGGGCGCTCCGTGACTAGTTCCGGGGACGGAGGAAGGGGTGACATCCACAACACCTTTCCCGGCCAGTGGATCTTTCTATGGCTTTTCTGTAGCTACACGGTATCCTGCTGTATGCACTGACCACACTTCAGCCGAGTCCCGACGGCCAGTCCGATCTAGCTGATAGAGGACTGATCTTTCAGCGTGATGTCAAAACAAAAAAGCTCTGAATTGGTAATAGCTGATTAAGCATCCAGTTCCCACAGACGCAAACCTAAGACCATGGAAGCAGAGTTCTAGGAAGGTTAGGTTTTAGTTTAATTTCAAAAAATATATAAAACAGGGGTGCCTGGGTAGCTCAGTGGGTTAAGTCTCTGCCTTCTTGTATGCCTGGCCGCATACAAGAGAAGCTAAGAGGAGGTTCGACAGGTTTCCCATCTGCACGGAGCATCTCCTGACAGACCAGCAGGCTTCCTCAGCCTCCCCTCCGGCTAGCAGTGCAGCCGTCCCCCACAGGGACCTACTCCGGGACAGGTGGAGCCAAAGGTGACCTGGATACAGCAGCGCCGGCAGGAGGCCCTGCCTGCGCCTGCGTCACACACGGGCAAGGCCAGGACTGCGTTCGGTGGCACCACTTTGAACTCATGCCCTCAGGCCTGACCTGGGCTGGAGGAGTCCAGGCCCAGGGCGCACAAAGCCTTGACCTGTGGGCAGATTCTAAGAACAAGGCCACAGCCCAGCCCACGGGATCCTGAGGCGTACAGGTGGCCGGCTACTAACTGTGTCTCTGAGAAAGTAAGACATTTCTTTGTTTTTCTACAGACATGCCCGGTAGTGACACTGCACTCCTCTGTGACGTGAGGCTCATAAACAGAGTTAAGGGTTGATGGGAAAGTTCACATTCCCGGGACCGTCCCTCGGCTAACTGGTGGCAGAAGGAACGTACGAAGACTGCCCAGCGGGACACGGGGGCTCCATCGGCTACAGTCTGGTTCTGACACATACTTTTATAAAAGATTAGGCATTTTACTTAAAAAATGATCATCACACAAAACACACACTGTGTATAAAGCAGCACCAGCCCCCCGCCCTCCACCCCAACATCTCTCTCCCCGGAAGGAGCTGCTGTAACTTCCAGGACTAGTCCTTCCCTCCCACGTGCAAGCACTCTACTCTGCCCAGCCACCGTGGGACACTGCCTTGTGCCCAGTAGGACGACCGGAAGCATCAAAAGCCAGCAAGGAAGCGGCCCCGAGCGTGCGGAGAACAAGGCCGGACTGTGTGAACACAGCCGGGGCCTCTGTGACACGTCCCAGGCGCCACCAGCACACATGGTGACTCCGCTCCTGGGCAGCGTCCCTGAAGCATGGAGGCAGGGACCCAAACGGCTGTTCCCAGTCACAGCCCGGACGTGGCCCCCGCGTCCATCCACGTGGTCTTGGCACACAGTGGGGCGTCCAGCAGCCAGCAGGGGAAGGGGACTCTGACACGTGCTACTGCCTTGGCTCGACCTCGAGGACACGGCTCGGTGAAAGGACAAGTAACACCTGACTCCGGTTCTGCGAGGGCCCAGAACAGGCACACTGGGGGGCACCGGAATGGCGGTTCCCAGGGGCTGGGGGGCGGGTGGGGAGGAGCGACTGAGGAGGCTCTGACTGCAGATGGTGGTCATGGGGACACAGCCTTCTGAATGTCTCTGCTGTCACAGAGTCGTATACTTAAAAAGGGCTATGATGATCAACATCATGTTATGTAATTAAAATCCTATTAAAAAACAACTCTGCCCCAGACCGGCCATTTCTGTCCCTGGAGGAGGAGACTTGAACCCCGCGGCAGGCACAGGAAGAGTGAAAGGAGAACTTGCGTGCTGTGATACCGGCAGAGGGAACCCGCCGGGCGACGGGGAAGTGCCGGGGGCGCCTGCCACTCCAGGGGCGGGAGGGTCTGGGGGGGGGCTCCTGGGCAGGAGGCCCCGTGCTGAGCTGCAGCTTCTCGTCTCCATGACCACAAACGACTCCCATCAAGGGGAGAAGAGCGTTCAACCCGGGTTCAAGTGCCAACGGACACATTCCAATTAACTGTGGCCTCTGGCAAGTCCCCTGTTGGCTCTGAACCTGCCCCTTCCCCTTAAGAAACCAGAGCAACCTCGTGAGGCTGCCGTGAGGATTTCTAAGGAGAGAAGGAAAAGCCTTACTGCGCACAGCACCGGGCAGCTGGTTGCTACCTGCCGTGTGGTTAGCACCCCCGGGAGACGGTCAGACTTGGAAAAATCCTGACCCCCTAGAGGTTCTCCTTGATGGAACATTCCTGAACACACACCCCAGGGCTTGTACCTTGTGTGCCGAACAGTCTTGCAGCCCACACTCTAAGTTGAGGGTCTCACTCTCCGCTGACAGGTCCGTGAGGATGTCCTACAAAGAGCGCATTGGAAGAGGCCGTTGGGATGAGCTGCGCGCAGAGGCCGGCGGGGCAGGTCCCTCTGAGGGACCGTGGAGCACTACGGTCGCCTGGGTCAGACCACTGAGGACTGAACCAGACACCCAACCTCAGGAGGGAAACCCAGGTAGCCAGGAAACTCCTGAGGGACCCACCGCAAGCAGCGGGTGTGTGATGCGGCTAATGCACACCTTCTGCCTTTCCTCACTCCACACCTCTTCTAAGTACTCAAGAAGCACAGAGCCCTGTACCTGGGTTTTGAACAAAGTATGGTTCCTATCCTCAAGGGGCTATCAACAGCTCACTGAAACCTAAGGGAGGGTAAGAGATTCATGGGCGTGGGGAGGGTGCACTACAGAGCTGGGGTGGGGGTAGACTTCCTGGAGGAGGTGGCATCTGAGCAAAAGACTTAAGGAAAATCTTGCTTTCAGGGAACAGGGACAGCAACCCCACCCAAGGGGCCAGGAAGACCCAAGGCAGAGAGCATCTGAGCACAGGAAGCAGATAGAGGGGCAGGCACCCATGTAGAGCCCAAGAGGCAGGTGTCCCCCCACGACCCAGGGCAGCTAACCCACTGGGGAGTGGACTCCATAACTTTACCCTGCAAAGCTTGGGGGGACTCTGGCACACTGGAGAACCACTGGCAGGCTGAGCTCGGGGTAGAAACCAGAAAGGCAGGCTGGGGTGAGGTCACTAAACACCAACAGAGCTGTGATGAGACACATGAATTTTCTATTAAAAAGTAATGGGGGGGGCGCCTGGGAGGCTCAGTCGCTTAAGCATCCGCCTCTTGATTTTGGCTCAGGTCATATCTCAGGGTCATGAGAGCGCGCAGTGTCGAGCTCTGCGCTGGGTGCGTGGCCTGCTCAAGATTTTCTCTCTTCTCCTTCAGCCCCTCCCTCCCCCACTCACAAGCTTTCTCAAAATAAATAAATAAATAAAAAATCTTGGGGTGCCTGGGTGGCTTAGTTGTTAAATGTCTGCCTTCGGCTCAAGTCATGATTCCAGGGTCCTGGGATCGAGTCCTGCATCAGGCTCCTTGCTCCGCAGGAAGCCTGCTTCTCCCTCTCCCACTCCCCCTGCTTGTTTTCCCTCTCTCACTGTCTCTCCTCTCTGTCAAATAAATAAAATCTTAAAAAAAAAAAAAAGTAACGGGGTGTGGTGCGCCCAAGGGTGGTTTTTAAGAAGCAGTGGTAACATCTGACCCATGGTCTAGACAGACAGACCCGTCTGTGGACGGAATAAGGACTGACTGAGAAGATAAGAGACCAGAGACAGGAACCAAGGTAGTAAACTGCTTCCCAGGCGTGTGGGGGAGGGGAAGTGGAGCTGCGGGCAGGGCCACAATGAGGGCCACGGGGCTGCGAATGGGGAGACAGCCTGAGAGATCTGGGCAGGAAGCCAGGAGAAAAAGCAAGAATAAGTCCATGCTTCCTTCCGGGGCCAGCTGGGGAATGCTGCAGAATCACTACAAGTGGGGCCGGGGTAGCTGAGGCACCTGCTTTCCTCGGTGCCTCCGGCAGAGCCCTGGGCAGCGGAGTCCTGGCCAACACCCAGAGTGGCAGGCCCTGGCTGCAGGAGGCCGAGAGCTCCTACTGTGGTGTCTCACTACACTTTCTGGGTCAGTGGGGAAGTGAGGATCAGGAAACGAGACTGAGGAATGGCCAAGAACAGGCCAGAGAGCACGACACAGGGAGAACGCAGCAGCCGCCCACTCATCTGCACCGGGCAGGGAAGGCGGGGGCGGGCAGGCGGGACGCGGCTCGCTGGCGGGGCAACAGGGCTACACAGCATGCCCTGCGGCCCTGGTGAGTCGGGGGCGCCTCTGGAGGAAGTCCTCCACTGAGGAACCCAGGCCTGCCGCTCTGTTTCTGACGCTTCTCAGTGAAAGGAACAGAATCCAATCGTTTCTCCAAAGGCAGCACGTAACGGCCCCGGGTAGGCTTCTCCACTTTCTGTCCTGGTCTTTTCTGCTACACCTGCTGCTCTAACTGATGAGGACTCTATCCCCTGTTCCGGCAAAGGTGGGTCTCCTGGCACCCCACCCCTCGTCCCGGGGCCTCGAGCAGGGGCTCCTTACCTGCAGAGACATGGTTCCTCTCACCGCTACCACGACAGATTCCTTCCTGTGGTCCAGAGCCACTAAAAAGGGAAGCTCGTAGACCTGAGGGTGAGGGAAAGAAGCATGAGTTCTGGAGAGTGAGAGCACGCAGCTACGGGGCCGAGTTCGCCCAGCCCAGCGTCTCTAACAGCTGGGCAGTGGCGTTGTTCTCCCACAGAAGGTGGGCTGCCTAGAACCCAGGGCGGTATCTCTACAAAGACTTCTGACTCCATCTCGCATTAAGCCCGTGTGTGTGTGTGTGTGCACGCGTTTTCTGGGGGAGATAAATTATAACTTCTGCCATACTCTCCAAGGACCCCAGGACCCCAGAGCAGTGACGAGGCGCCATTGTACCGACCTTGTCATGAAAGCTTATGTGAATGAAATCCCTGTACTGCAGGCCGGTCGTGTGCAGGATGGAGCCGAAGTGGCAGTGCAGCTGGTCACCGCCGACCAGGTCGTAGTCCGTCGTCCTCCTTCTACAACTAAACACACGGTGAACGTGTCAGTTATGGTACTGAGCAGGGAGCATCACCCCCACTGTCCCGTCCCCCCAGCACACACGAGAACCAGAGTTCACTATGCTCAGCACTTACTCTGGCTCCCGAATAATGGCCTTTACCATTTCTGGGCACACCTGTTTACTAGAGTTCTGACTTCTGGAGTCATGTTCGTGTTTTACAAAACCAAAAAATAAATTATATTAAGAACCAGAGAGACTCTCAAATCTCCAGGAATAGGGCAAACTGGCATCTTGTTTGCTGATACGACGGAGCAAGAAGTACGCAACGTTGCTTCTGGGGAATTCCTGCCAAAGATGTGTAACTTGACTCTAATCCGGAAGAGACCATCGAATACAAACTGAGAGCCATTCACAAAATACCTAGGCTACCACGCAATGCAATGTCAGCCTCACACAAGACGTAAAACAAGGAGGAACTGTGCGAGATAGACACCAAGTGTGATGCGTAAGCTTCACGTGGAGGAAACCTTGCTCTGGAGGCCACTCCTGGGACAAGCATGAAACCGTGACTCCAGAACCTAAGTGAGCTCTTGCTTAACGCTAGCTATGCTGGCGCAGAAGCGTCCTGAGCACGTGCAGAAGGTCCTCGTTCTCAGGAAATGCGGCCCGAGCGGCAGGGGGTAAGGGGCGCGCCCTCTGCCGCTGGAGCTTCAGCAGAGCTATGGTGACACAGCACGTGTGACCACACTGAGTCACAACTGGTGGCTCCAGATAAAGGATCGATGGGTGTTCCTGGTACCGCGCTTGCGGTTTTGAAATATTTCAAAACAGAACATTTTTGGAAAGGGGCAACGGGATTATTTTTAGAAAGTACAGCGAGGGCTCTGAGGAGCACTGAGCAGCATGACCGCAGGGCCGGACGCGCCCACCCACCAGTCCCCGCCAATCTTGCAGAGCCCGGTGAAGGGGTTCCGGTAGACGTAGAGGGGCCACCCGTAGGCCGCTGCTGCAAACTGCATGTAATGGTGACAGTTGGCTAACTCGGTGTCCAAATCAGCTTCCTGGAAGAGAAGAACAACAGAGCCCATCACGGTCAGGACCAACGGAGATCATAACCTGAACTCCAACTCCTGATGATGCCCCTTTCTTTCCTCGTTGAATAGCCCTCAGGGGTCTTGCACAGGGAAAACTTGTCCTGGAACACGGACAAAGAAAGACCCTGGTTTTACAGGACTGCAGCCAGGACGGTGGACGTGAACAGCAAGAACCCCTACTATAACTCCTGTGGCCCCTGCTGGAACAAGCCAGTGATGGAGCACGAGGCGCGTGAGGACAGCAGAGCACCAGGCCCCTGCATGAGGTGCAGAGAACGACACCCACCCACGTGCAACCTCCTTCAGAAGCCAACACCTGAGGCAGGAAAACTCCTCCAGCAAAACCCAACTGTTTCTGCTCCCTCGGCCCAGAGAAGAGAGCAAACGCACCCGGGGGAATCAGGCCCATCCCAGAAAGGACTTTTGCTGTACAGATTTCAACAATTTCCTACAAGAAAATGCTTTAAAAATACAACGGATGGTGAAGCAGCCAGGAAGCGACCGCAACCAGCACAAGCCACACACCACATTCCAAGCCAACGGTCCTGAATTCACTGCTGGCCAGTTTGTTTTGTTTTTTTTGAAGATGTATGAATAGGAGTAAATGTCGAAACCTGACAACCCAACAGGAAGGGGCTTACCTGGGGGGGTCCTGGGGAATGGCTGATCACCTCATCTGGCTCCTGGCTGTTCCTGATATTGTCCTGTTGCTGATGGAGAAGGGTGAGGCCCGCCGCAATGTCGCTGGGCACCAGGTCTGTGTCCTGGATGAAAACAGTGGCTTGTCGCACAACTCAGCAGGGATGGCCTGTGAGTTCCTTAAAAGTCAGTTTATTTTTTACAGTTCACACACACGCACACACACAGTTACACGTAAAGATGTTCCTTCAGAGTATTTTCCTTTCAAGACTCCATCTGTATGTGAGCTTGATTTTTACAATCCTGCCCTCAGACAAATCCACGGGAGAACAGAGAAATGCTGCTGAACTCTTATTTTCAAATTTCATTTCAAGTTAATGTAACTACTTAACTCAGTTCACAGCTTTTGTATAGTTGGGAGCAAATGGATAAGGAAGTTCACCATCTTTGTACTAAATGGCCAACTTTAGCCCAAATTTAGACTCTTGCTCAAAATGCCGTGGTTCTGTTCCAAGAGTCCCTGGTAGAGATTTAAGAGGCTGAACTTGACTCTGTGGCTACAGCAAGCCTCCAAAAGAACCTCAGACAAGGAAAGCAGCAGGGGGAGGTCTCCTGTGCCTGCCTTCCCCTTGTCCTTCAGGTGGGATCTGGAGCAGCAGGAATCCTCAGCTGCCTCCAGCCACTTCCGGTCCGCAAGGAAGCACCAGGCACTGGCCACTCGGCCTGAGCCACCAGTTCTTCCAACTGTCTTAGGCCCAGACCAGAGCACTCCTTGAAGGTTAGTTTAGGAAGAAACACTTCTCCAGTCCCTGGATGTAGGCGGCCGCCTGGGGCCAACCTACAGGCCAGCCCTGGGCCCCACAGACGCAGACACCACAGAGAGGCAAGGAGGGACCGGCAGTCGTGCAGGACGTCATGAGAACTCCTCTCCCTTCCCAGGTCTCAACACCGAACACAACAGTTTCCCAGAGAACATTACTGGAAAACGCTGGATGTGGAAGAAAACGAGTGTTCCCGAATCACTGAAGAAACCGCTCTAGAATGAAGACACCTGTCCACCCGGTAGTAACACACTCAAACTCTCCTTCAGGAGTAGAGTCATCTATCACGTCTATCACGCTATGAAGTAGCAGACAGGGCCTGACAGCTCCCTGGACACATGGCACCGCCTGCACCTGGCACCTGCAGAGGGGACCAGCTGGCAAATCCGCCCCACAACATGCAGGTTCCATCACGGAGCTCCTTAAAAATGAACTACGAATCCCAACAGTGTAACAAACAGGTGGCCACACCAGGATGCACCGGCCAGGGAGATGGGTCCGCGCGCGCAGGGCCCTGCACTAACACCCCCCGACCCCGCCACGCCACAGAGCACACGTGTGCAAGAGCACTTTGGCGTGAACAGAGTATTCACGTTAACATGAGACATTTACTGAGGAGAAAGAGACGAAAGCAGACCCCTTCAGCTTACTGAAAAGTAGGTTGAGAAAAGCTCTGCCGTACTCGAAAAAGCTACTCGAGTATGGTCGTCCTTCCCGATGCAACAGCACAGCAGCTTGATTCTGGTTTCCCACACGCTCGTAGCTGCTGTCTTGAGGCCATTAAGTAGCTGGCTGGACTCACGACTGTCCAGGTGGTTGGGGCCAGCGGAGGGATATGGAGCCATTTTCCCCCCGAGGGGGTCAAAGACGATGATGATGGTGACCACGGTGGAGACGATGATAACCCAGCTGCAAAACAGAGAGAGAAGGCGTGAAGACCCTGGGTCCCACGTCCAGATGCGGCTCTCCCAGAACCAGGTGGAAGTGAGCGACTTGTTTTTTTCTAGAAAGTTCTTTATGGGCCTGTGGCTGACCCTGGTCCCACAGAAGTCAGAGCCTTAGAAGTGAAGACCACAAAAGAGAAAAGGAGGTGCCTGGTAGGCAGAGTTGCAGCCTGGACACGGAAGTAGCTGGAACCTGTTCTCCATGGTCCACTGGCCAGGACCCAGGCCATGCTTGGTAAAACCCAAAGAACTTTGCCACATCGTGAGATACTCTGATGGGTTTTTCATTCATACATTCAGGGCACAATGTGCCAGACATCATGGTTCACGAACACGTGCACAGGAAAATGCACCTCTGTGCAGGGACTCTGCTGCCCCTGCATGTGCGGCGTGGGAAGGGCAGCGTCAGCATGAGTCTCCACCAGGGGAAGTAACTAGATCCTTCCTAAGACTGCGAGCCTGGAGACTGGGAAAACCCACTCCCATCCATTAGTCCCTCACAATTCCTGACACTGTTGTTTCTTCTCATTCCGCCTTTAGTTTTTGCCCTTGATTTGGTCTTTTGGTTTTCTTGTTTCTAATAACAGAAAGAGTGGAATAGAGAAGAACAAGAACCAGCAAGAAAAAAAAAATGTTATCAATAAATGTATTAACGGGAGATAAATTATTCCTTACATATAAATACATGTCTCAGTTTTTATGATTTACTCAAAAAGGTCCAATTTCAGGGCACCTGGGTGGCTTAGTTGTTAAGCATCTGCCTTCAGCTCAGGTCATGATCCCAGGGTTCTGGAATCAAGCCCCACATCGGGCTCCCTACTCAGCAGAGGACCTGCTTCTCCCTCTCCCTCGGCTGAGAGGTCTGCTGCTCTAACTACTTGTGCTCTGTCAAATAAATAAAATCTTAAAAAAAAAAAAAAAAGGTCCAATTTCTAACAATTTGAGGAAGCCCGCATGACACTGGGCTATCTGCAGTGACTCAGAAAGGTCTGTTTCCTTACATCTCAAATACATCTGAGACAAGAAACTGAAAGAGAAGATGGAAGACCTCACCTGATGACAACAGTGGCAATGATGCCATTCACCACCGTCTTGTCACACTGAACGGCATCTGCTATCCAGGCAGCCCCCAGAGAAGCCCAGACCATCTCTGGCAGAAAGAGCGCTAGGCGGAGGTAAAGCAGCTTGGACATAGATTTCCGTGGTCCAGGATTACAGATGGTTCCTAAAACACAGAAGATACTCAAACTGGGCACCTGGCTTCCTCGGAGACTTCCTTTCCACAGAAACAGAGGGCGGAGAGCATCTGTTACTACTGTAGATGGTTTCTACTCCTAATTGGAAATCAGTGCCGAAGGCTGAGAGCAAGTGACCAAGTGAGGGGTAGAAATAGAACAAAAAGCCTCAAGATTCATTTCCTAGACTTATGAGGGTCTCAAGAGACTTCAGGGTTCTAACTGGGATGGCCATACAATCATTGCCCAAGCTGGGACACTTCTGAGAGAGGAAGGAGGGGCTATGAATAATTATGCTGGGACATCGGGCACAAAACAGAACTGTCCCGGGCCAGCAGAGATACACAGTCACCCGACTCTAGAAAATAACTCCGCCATCGGCTCGAGATGTATGGCGTTCAGGCACCACGTGAAACACTTAACACCCATTATTCTGTAATCCTCACGGCTCTGAAGATAGTTACTGCCCCATCTTACAAATGAGGAAACTGAGGCTAGGAGAGCTTAGTAACTACTTTCTAAAACATAACCCAAGAGGTCCCTGGGTGATAGGGTTGATTAAGCCTCTGATTCTTGATTTCCGCTCAGGTCATGATCTCAGGGTCGTGAGATAGAGCCCTACCTATGGCTCTGTGCTCAGCGGGGAGTCTCCCTGAGATTCTCTCTCTCCCTCTCTCTCTGCCCCTTCCCCCACTCTGTCAAATAAATAAACAAAATCTTAACAACGACAAAACCCCCACAATCCAGGTCTGCATGGTCCCGGCTCTCTAGTTCACCAGGGTCCGCACTCTTGGAAAGTGAACAATTCTGACGCGCGGGAACACTTGAAGAAACCCAACACGTAGACGCAACCTTTTCACCGTGTGTCTCCCACAAACCCAAGTGGCCCACTGAGGTCCGTGCGCTTTAATTCTCCATGTAAAACCTCAGCTCTCTCCCTCTGGGAAAAGGTGTGATAAGTACTAACTGAAGCGACACAAAAATGCCAAATGATTAAAACAAAAACAGTGGAAAAAAAACCAAAAACCCAAAACCATGAGTGAAGACAATCTTAAGATTTAAAGAATGATCTGGTAAGGAAACAGCTTTTTTTTTTTTTAAAGATTTTATTTATTTATTTGACAGACAGAGATCACAAGCAGGCAGAGAGAGAGGAAGGGAAGCAGGCTCCCTTCTGAGCAGAGAGCCCAATGTGGGGCTCGATCCCAGGACCCCGGGATCATGCCCTGAGCCGAAGGCAGAGGCTTTAACCCACTGAGCCACCCAGGTGCCCCAAGGAAACAGTTTTTATGTTTCAAGAATCACCTTCCATTAGACTGGGTAACTAATTAGACTCATGTTCTAAAGTTTCTATTTGGCACAAAGACAAAATATAAGGTAACCAAAACAACTCTCTCTCCCAGAGGGACTAAGGGTGCGGGCCTAACACCCCCGCGCCCCGCCCGGAGCCTGCTGCGACCAGCCGACCACGGGCAGCAGGGAACCCTGGCTGGGCCGGCCCCCAGCAGCACGCACAGCGCCGGGCCCGGCACTCCGCCAGTCCGTGCATGAAATACAGTCGTAAATAAGGAAGCAGAAAATGGAGTTCTAAGATTCCAAAAAGAAATCAAGATACTGAAAAAAACCTCCTTTATCCAGTCAAACCCACCGATGAAAACATGGTTATTTCCTTAGATAAGAGATCTTCCTCTCAAGGCCCTGCGAGGACCTGCTGCTCCCCGGGGTGCAGGGATGCGGAGGCCCCATGACCCCCGAGCAGAACCTCCTCGCGGAACGGACTGCGGCGCCGCCCGGGGCTTCACCGCACAGAGCCACTCGTGCGAAGATCACAGAACGCAGGCCCGTGTCACAGCATCTGGGCTTCAACGGCTCTACACACTGCCCCGACCTTCCCTAGTGGGAGACGAGCACGGAGGTGACGCAAGGAAACGGCCCAGAACCCGCATCGAACACAGCAAACGGCACACCCTGGAGGCTGAGGGTGCTCCGCCGTGAAAACGGGGTAGTCATGAGGCTGGACCTTCCTTAACTAAGCCTCCCCCATGGTAGGAACAGAAGGATTTCACCAGGGTGGTTCTCAGGTCAACACCAGAAACCGCAGCATCGAGCTTCTCCCCAGCTATGCTGCACCGATGACTGATGACCGGGAGAGAGGAGCGCACGTGCCTCAGTGTCTTGGATCAAGATGACCGAACCCCGCTGGTCCCACATGTGCCCCCTGCAGCCTGGGGTGTCTCTCCAAGAGAGTAAGACCAGCCCAAAGCTACGTAAACATGGCCCTCCAGCACGATCAACAGGTTAATTACTGAGACGCCTCAAGGAACAAAAGGGGCAACAGAAGTTACCCACGTCTCAAGAATAAAATTAACAAAGACGCCTGGGTGGCTCAGTGAGTTAAGCACTGACTTTTGATTTTGACTCAGATCATGATCTCAAGGTTGGCACTTAAACTAACGTGATTTATAAAATATTGCTTTTAGTTCAGTTATGGCCCCTCTCGCCACAAGTAACAAAAGTTGAAAAACAGGAAGGACCCAGGACATGCCCTGACTCGGGGACTGAAGTGCAGCGCTGGGACAGGCGTCCCGGCTCTCTGGCTTCTCACGACTCTGCCCTCCTCTGTGTCAGCTCGTCCTGGCTGTGAGTGGAGATACACCAGGAATTCAGCAGCTCCTCCCTCCACAGAATCACCAGGCTGAAAACACTGTATTACTTCTGCATCTTTCCTCGAGGATCAAGACTCCCCAGAACCTTCCAGAAAATTCCCGAGTTTCACTGGCTCCAACTGGGTCGCATGTCCCTTCCGGAACCAGGCACTGACATGGGAGCATCATTCCTGAGCTGGGTGGAGAGCTGGCTTCTCTGACACACTTACTCCGTATGTGAGGGATGGGGGACGTCCCAAATAAAACTGGGTTGTTTGGAAGAGGTCGCAGGACAGGCAACCCGCCCATAACACAAACTGCTAGCACGTAGCGCCTAACGTCCACCATCGGATGTTTTCTGACCTCTGACCGTGAGTGTGAGACGGTGCAGGCCTTAGGCAAGTGCTGAAGGGGAGGAGCCTAAGCCAACTCGGCCACCCACCACGGTGTACGTGCCCCGACACCACCAAAGACGTCTGAAGAAAAAATACTCAAGGGAAAAAAAGCTCACATTCCTGCTTCAGATCTGAACACTGAGTCTCCTAACCAGAATAGGACATGAACAGAAAGGGCCAAGAAATGAGATGATGCCACAGATGAAGTGACACCAACCCAAATACTTCACCTTGCACAAACTCAGACTTCACGAAAGGCTCCCTAGCGCTGGGGCACCTGGCTGGCTCAGCTGGTTAAGCGACCGACTCTCGGTTTCAGCTCAGATCATAATCTCAGGGTCGTGAGATCAACCCCTGCACCGGGCTCCACACTCAGTGCGGAGTTTGCTTGAGGTTCTCTCTTTCCCTCTGCGAACCCCCACCCACACGCTCTATAAGAAACAACAAAAACACAACATTGAAACCACAACTCCATGGTGCTAAAGCCACAGAGCGGGGACCTTCTTTGCTCTAGACATTCATGTACGCGTTCGTGTTTTCACGGGCATGCTCAAATACACAGCGCTTTCTTTTCCGTACAGGTCTCTTTAAGTGGGCACATGCCACACCTCTTAGACATTTTTAAAACCCTGTGGTCTTTCTCATGAAACACTCGGCCACTAACATTTCTCCATCACTCCCCACGAGCTACCCCCATCTTTTCAGTTTCAGTTGGTCATTCACTGCCGAGATCACGACTCTGCTACCCAGTGTTATCAGCTACTCCCTCCCAGTGCTTTCATCATCATCTGGAATGTGTGAGCCTGCCTCCCCCAGTCCCACTCAAGCAATGATGAAACGTGCTGGAGGGGAGCGTGCCATTTAGCCCTGCCTCTGACTGCCGAGTTTTTAGTTTCTAATGCACCACAGTGCTCAGCTCCTCCTATGAACCTGAGCACTCATACAGGGAAGGCTCCCAACATGTTTCAGCAAAGTAACTGCGAAAACTGTAACATGGAGAAAAAATTATCATTAAGAATAGATGGAGGGGGGCGCCTGGGTGGCTCAGTGGGTTAAGCCTCTGCCTTCAGCTCAGGTCATGATCTCGGGGTCCTGGGATCGAGCCCCACATCGGGCTCTCTGCTCAACGGGGAGCCTGCTTCCCCCTCTCTCTCTCTGCCTGACTCTCTGCCTACTTGTGATCTCTCTGTCAAATAAATAAAATCTTAAAAAAAAAAAAAAAAAAGGAATAGGTGGAGGGCGCCTGGGTGGTTCAGTCATTAAGCATCTGCCTTCAGCTCAGGTCATGATCTCAGGGAGCTGGGATCGAGCCCCACACTGGATTCCTTGCTTGGCAGGAAGCCTGTTTCTCCCTCTTCTACTCCCCTGCTTGTGTTCCCTCTCTCACTGTCTCTATGTCAAATAAATAAATGAAATCTTAAAAAATAAAAACAGATGGAACGGTTACTGAACTGAACATTAATAAAAAAGGACAAATAACTCAACTTAAAATGGGGGAGGGGCACCTGGGTGTCTCAGTGGGTTAAAGCCTCTGCCTTCGGCTCAAGTCACAATCCAAGGTCCTGGGATCGAGCCCCACATCAGGCTCTCTGCTTGGCAGGGAGCCTGCTTCCCCTCCTCTCTCTACGTACTTGTGATCTCTGTCAAATAATAAAATCTTAAAAACAAACAAAAACGGGGAAAGGATCTGAGTAGACACATCGTAGACACACGAATGGCCAGTAAGCTACGAGAGGATGCTCACCAAGGAACTGCAAATCACCACCTCAGAGAGATCCACCAGAAGGACGGCTAGGATCGGAAAGTCAGACAAAGTTGGGGAGAAACCGAAACTCTTTATAAACTGAAAGAGAAATGGTGTAGCTGCTTGGACTCCAGTTTGGCAGCTCCCCAGAAGGTTAAACATGGGGTTACCACGTGATCTGGCCATTCCATGCCTAGGCACACATCCAAGAGAAATTAAAACCTCTGTCTGTAAAAAAAACACCTATGTGAACGTTCACAGCAGCTTTATCTGGAATAGCCCCAAAGTGTTAATAATCCAAACGTCCACCGACTGACAAATGGGTAAGTAAAATGTGGCAAACCAGTCGACGTAATTTTTTTAAAAGAGAGAGAGAGGGTATGAGAGCCCAGAAGCAGGGGTGGTCAGGGGGCAGAGGGAGAGGGAGAGGGAGGCTCCACACTAGGCAGGGAGCCTGATGTGGGGCTGGATCCCAGGACTCTGGGATCATGACCTGAGCTGAAGGCGGATGCTTAGCCGACTGAGCCAATATTATTCAGTCATAAGAAGAACGAAGAGTTGACACACACTAAAAGATGAATGAACCCAGAAAACATGCTAAGAGGCCAGACCCAACGGCCACATAGTGGATGACTCCACCGGTATGACCCAGAACAAGCAGATCTACAGACAAAGTAGGTCAGCAGATGGCTAGAGCTGAGGAAATTGGGGGAAAATGAGGAGTGACTGCTAACAGGCATAGGATTTCTTTTTGGGGGTGAGGAGAATGTCCCAAGATTGTGTGAAGGCTGCAAAACTCTGGGAATATACTAAAAATCACGGTCCTGCATGCTTCCGATGGGTGAATGGTACAGTACACGAATTATATCTCAAAAAGGAAAAGGCTACCCTTTACCTTTCATGCTGACACACGTGATGGCGGCCACTGTACATATAATAATTGCTAGGAGAACAAGAAGAACAATCAAGTAACTGCTGAGCAGGGCGCCACCTGTACAGTCCAGCTTCCCTCGGTGCATGAGGTACAAAGTCAAAATGCCAATCCACCTGCCGAGAGATAGGGAGGGTCAGAAAGGGAAACCAAGGGACTACATTATAAAACATTACAGAGGGCGCCTGGGTGGTTCAGTCATTGGGAGGGGTCTGCCTTCAGCTCAGGTCGTGATCTCTGGTATCGAGCCCTGAGTTGGGCTCCCTGTTCAGCAGGAGGCCTGCTTTTCCCTCTCTCACTCCCCTGCTTGTTCCCTCTCTCGCCGTGTCTCTGTCAAATAAATAAATAAAATCTACTAAAAATTTTTTTAAAAAATTACAGGAAGAAATAAAAGGAGAGGATATATTTTTTTTTAATTTTTAATTAAATTTTTTTTAAAAAAGAGTTAATTTCCCAAGGCAAGGTGAAGTTTGCTTTGGAATACAATTTTCTCCAATAAAAGATCTACTAAGAAAAATAATAAAAGATCTACTAAGTCAATTAAAGAGTGTGACTTTTTTTTTAAGCCAATTTTTTTTTTATTTTTTTTTTATTTTTAAAGATTTTATTATTTGAAAGAGAGGCAGTGAGAGAGAGCATGAGCGAGGAGAAGGTCAGAGGGAGAAGCAGACTCCCCGTAGAGCTGGGAGCCTGATGCGGGACTCGATCCCGGGACTCCGAGATCATGACCTGAGCTGAAAGCAGTCGTCCAACCAACTGAGCCACCCAGGCGTCCCTATTTATTTATTTTTTAAAGATTTTATTTATTTGACACAGAGAGAGATCACAGACAGAGGCAGCCGGAGAGAGAGAGGGGAAAAGCAGGCTCCCCGCTGAGCAGAGAACCTGACATGGGGCTCGATCCCAGGACCCCGAGATCATGACCTGAGCGGAAGGAAGAGGCTTAACCCACTGAGCCACCCAGGTGCCCCTAAAGCCAATTTTTTAAAAAATGAGTTTTATACTTCCTGTGCTTACATGATCGTTCCTAATTCTATGCCTGCTCTCATACCAAAGAGGCACTTAATGCCATAAGCAGGCAACTATAATGCGGGCTGATGAAAAACAGCTGCCCTATCATGACTCAGAAATACACAAGTGTAAACCAACAAAATGCAGGCTTGCTAAAATATTAACAAGATATGTTTATTTCTGGGGATTAACAAGGAACTGACAATCACACACTGTCATCAGCTGTGTGTAATGCCAAAAAACCCGGAGGTGGTAAATCAAGATATGCCAAGATGTTTCACGGGGAACACTGATAATCTTGCAAGGCCCCGTACCGCAGACTTAGTATCTTTTATAATTCAGTGCAGAACAAAGAAAAACAGCACCAAAGGGCTGTCTTTCAGGAAATGGCTGAGCAGCGCTGGCAAGAACACTGTATGAAGGATTCAAGCCCAGGTGTGGAACTGGGACTAGAGAACATTTTATGCTTTTGTCAGTTTTGTGATTATGAGGACTTTGGGTCTGGAAATAACAATGGGAAATAACCTCAGAGAGACTCGGCTATGAAAACTATGGAACTACCCAGAAGCTGCTTCCAGGATTTCACGTTTTTATATTCCTTTCCCCTCAAGAATGCACTCTTCGATTACAGTGGTGCTGTATTTATTCCCTGCTCAGCCCCTCTGGGAGCAGACTTGAGGAGCCCAATTCCACTTCCCATCGGTTGCAGACTTTGTGCCAGGCTTGGCTGCTCCTCAGGGAATTCAGTTCTGGAACGACAAGCAGGCTACTATTTCCCATCCTTTCCTCCGGTTGACCCTGCATGCCCTGCGTTTCCATGCCGAGCGCCGTAATAATGCCAAGTGGCTGCTTCTAGCTCCAGGAAGCTGATCCCGAAGGGCACGGCCTTTGGTCCATAACCACGTCCCGGAGGCTCCCGGAGCCAGGCCTCCGCGCCGCACGCGACAGGGGCGGACCTGGGGGTCCCCAGACCCGGCCTCAGTGTGCCCTCCCAGAAGTGGGCAGAACGGCTGCACGCACGTCCTCGGAAGCTTCGCGCAGTGGAGAGGCCCAGACGAGGGAACATGGGCTCCGCGTCCGCGCGCACAGACCCGGCGACACTGCCGCCCCTCGCGGGCGGCTGGAACCCGCTCCCTCCGAGCCCCGGCCGCCCGCCCGGCCGCCCAGCCCGCCGCCCTTACCACACCACTCGCAGAGACAGCTCGAAGAACCCCGGGAAGACCAGGTCGTCGCTGGCAATGGCCCAGCGCCGACCAAAAAGCACCATCCCGGGCATGGCGGAGGCCCTGCTGCCCGGCCTCGGGCCGGCCCGCCGCGCGCCGGTAGCCACTCGGTGCCCCGAACCCTCCCGGATCCAACGCCAAACTGACTGCGACTTAGCGCAGGCGCGTGCGAGGGTCAGGCCCGACGCACGCGCACTGAGCCCCGCGCCGCTGCTGGACCCTCCGCGCCTGCGCAGAGACGCTGACCCGGATGGCGCTGATCAGCGCGGCGGTTGTTTTGCTTGTGTGCGAGGTCTTTTCTGATAATGTTCCAGTTCTGTAGATAAGGACTCTTCGGGGCCCGGAGGAATGAACACCCCAGAGATCCACAGGTGGTGATGGCCGATCTGGGGCTCCTTCCAGGTCAGGAGTGCCGCGTAAGGCCGCCTCTCGAGTTCAGGGTCTGAAACCACCCAGCAGCTGGGCTGGGGCGTGGGGAGGAGCCTTATCCTCTAAGCGTCAGGCTCTGAGTATTTAGCCCCTGCGCTCTGCCCCAGCCCAGTCCGAGACTCCTTCGTGCCTGCGCGGGTCTCCCCACTGCGCTCCGTCATTCTGCCCTGCTTCCCTCCAGCCCCCACCCCGCCCCATCCATCCCCCAGTGCATTTCCCCTGCGGCAGTCTGAACAACCTGGTTGAACCGTCAGAGCAGCCCCATCCTCCGCTTAGGATCTTGCAAGGCTGCACTTTTGTGCAGGAGATGGACTGTTTTACCATTCTGTCTCTCCACCCCACTGCCTGCCGCCACCCCCCGCCCCGCAAATATATCAAGCTCATTCTCACCCCAGGACTTTTACATTCTGTTTCCTCGGCCAGGGATGTTCCTCTCCAGTTATTTCCATGTCTCTGTCTCAGGTCATTCAGGGCATAGCTCAAGTTGCAAAGAGGCTTTCCTTGGCCACCTTATCTGAACAGCACACCCACCAGTTCCCATTCCCTCCCCCGGCTTCAGTTCTCCTCCTGATACTTAATCACTTCCTGACATTGTAGCATGTTTATTACCTCTTTCCTTCCACCTTAGAGTGTAAATTGCATGAACAATTTACCTTGTCCGTCTTGTTCACTGCTATGCACATAATAGAGCAAATTACAGGCACATATTAAATACTTGATGAATGAATAAACAAACTAATTGAATATCAAGGTTTTCTTTTTTTTTAAGATTTTATTTATTTATTTGACAGAGATCACAAGTAGGCAGAGAAGCAGGCAGAGAGAGAGGAGGAAGCAGGCTCCCTGCTGAGCAGAGAGCCCAGTGACGGACTTGATCCCAGGACCCTGGGATCATGACCTGAGCCGAAGGCAGAGTCTTTAACACACTGAGCCACCCAGGCGCCCCGAATATCAAGATTTTCTAAGTCTGAAGTTCCTTCAGGGATCTGCTAAAGGGCAGATCTGCTAAAGGATTTCAGTGTTAAAAATAATATCGAAATTATATTGATGGTTGTGGAAATCATACAGGGAATTGTAGATGGGGAAGTTACAAGGTTTCTACAGAAAAGAGAACCATTCATCATAAAATAAGTATTCATTGGGTACTTGGTTTGGCCAGAAGTGACTTACTCAGAAAGTCAGGGAAGACTTCCCTGAAGAAGATACTAAAATGAGATCTGGAGGAAGAAAAGGAGTTCAGTGGAAGAGAGTAATTCAGAAGCTACAGGACTGTGCCTATGATCAGAATATTCTCAAATGTAATAGTTCCCTTTTGCAGACAGAATTTGTAAGGCTTACCACTAAGTTAATTTTTCTACATAAGCTTTTGTTAGTAAAGATAAAGATACTGATGACTTCATGTCACAAACAGTAACAACCCACAAAACTATGACTTCAAACAGGTAGCATACACATTAAAAAGAAAATGTATTTTGTATAGGTTTTTCTTCCAGATTTATTTGTGTGTGGGGGTGAAGAAGCAGGGGGAGAGGGCGAGAACCCAAGCAGACTGTGCTGAGTGCAGAAAGCAACAGAGGGCACAATCTCAAGAGCCTGAGCTCATGACCTGAGCCAAAACCGAGAGTCAAACGCTTAACCGCCCAGGTGCCCCTGTATTTTATGTATTTCTAATCTCTGCGAGTATGTTTTGCTATTTCCTTGTAACATTATTCCATTTATTGAATTAGAGCGGTTTTAAAACATTATTCCATCATGTTGGTATCTAATAGGAAACATATTAATTTCCTTATTTTAGACACGTTTTTCAATCTTCTATTAAAAATAGTTTCTAAAAAAAGATTTTATTTGTTTATTTGAGAGAGAGCACAAGCAGGAAGAAGGGCAGAGGGAAAAGCAGACTCCCCGCTGAGCAGGGAGCCCGCTGATGTGGGACTCCATCCTGGGATGCCGGGATCATGACCTGGGCGGAAGGCAGACGCTAAACCAACTGAGTCACCCAGGTGCCCTTAAATTAACTTTTTTTAAAAAATAGGGGGTCTTCCCACATGGGGCTCAATCCCAGGACCCTGGGATCATGACCTGAGCTGAAAATGCTTAACTGACTGAGCCAACCAGGAGCCATTATATACTGTATTGTTAGAATAAAGTAAGCTGGAGAAAAGAAAATCATAAGGAAAATACATTTACAGTTCTGTATTGTATTTATTGAAAATAACCTGCGTATAAGTGGCCCCATGCAGTTCAAATCCATGTTGTTCAGGGTCAACTGTACTTCCAAAATACCAAAGCACAGCTCTTGAAAAGGTAAATAGGCCATCATCACTTTTTTCTAAATGAAGATTTTAAATACAGAGATGCCTGACACCTAAGGATCTACAACCGGATATAACAAGGGATAACATCCTACCATGGATGCTCCATCTTTTTGGAGAAAAGAAAATTTCTTCGATATCCTTCTCTGCTTGTCCTTTCTGGTTAATTTCGCTGTGCATTTGCAAAATACAGTAAGTATTCTTTGGAGACTTTCTTGGCTTTTCATTTTACCTTCCTATTAACTTGGAGAAACTGTGATCTTTACTCTCATTTTTCCAAATCAATTGGTTCATTTCCTCCCCTATTTTTCCCTTTGGGACTTAATTTTCTTTGATTTGAGTAAATGCCTGTGTCCCGAGTAAAGTTAATATCCTTGCATTTAGTCTGTCGGGTGGAGGTGGGGCAGTGTTAGCTAGGCGATCTTTCAGGAAATTGGATAGTTGTTTCTCTAAGCCCTTCTTTACAGCCCTGGGATCTCCAGTTCTCAGAATTCGAAGTAAACAAGTGACTTTTTTTTCATTTCAGTGCACACCAGTTTCCTTATTATCCATTTATTGTCTTAGATCCCTTATTGGAGGAATAAATACATTCTGTCTTCCCATTCTGTTTCGGTAACAGAGTCAAGTGTAGTAGTGTAGCACTTGCCTAGAGACTCTCCCCTTTTCGGTGCCCACGGGGAAATTAGAGATGGGAGACCTGGAGCATCCTAGTATTATACAAAAGTTTCCCTGTCATTGTTTTAAGACATTCGTGCTGTATTATGCTCCAACCTGCCTTTAAATGTCAGGGATAAGAGGGAATGGTTTCAGAACCCCAGGAGAAATGCCCACAGCACCCACACAAGACCACAGGACATAGGCTCGCTCAGAGGGGTGAAGGAGGGGCCGCCTGTAGTGCAGAGTCCTTACTATTTCCACATTCAGTCACTAGAGGGCGAGGCACACAGGAAAACCCCACCTGGAGCCCCAGTCCCATCAGCCCTCAGTAGAGGTCACTCAGGTGGTTTGGGGAGGTACTTAGCCATCAGTGTCTACAGTTGCGGTACTTTCCTAAGGAGGGCAAACTCGATCAATGTCATCAAGTAGGTCACAGGGTCTCCTGCCAGAAGTAGTTTCCAGCCAGCTTTGGAGGCAGCTGTCCCAAACTAAGCACAAAGGGAGGGCGAAAAGGGGTCACACTGATGCTGAGCACTTAATGTCTGTGCCTCAAGCTCTAATTTGAGCTTCACAAAACTCCTGTGGCAGGAGTCTCTGAAGGGAACTGAGGGAGATGGAGACTCATGTTAAATCTAGGGTCACGGAGCTAGGGTGTAAGGAGTGACCCCAAAAATTATGCCTTCCTTACTCAGGGTTCCCACCACTCACTCACGATTTCTATTTTTTTTTTTAATTTATTTATTTGACAGAGACACAAAGAGGGAACACAAGCAAGGCGAGTGGGAAAGGGAGAAGCAGGCCTCCCACTGAGCATAGAACCGGATGTGGGGCTCGATCCCAGGACCCTGGGGTCATGACTCAAGCCGAAGGCAGACACTTAACAACTGAGCCACCCAGGTGCCCCTCATGATTTCTTTTGCAACAAAAATCTTCGCTTGACCTCTCCAGAAAGTCGTCCAACCTAGTGGCATCTCTGGAAAGGCTGGGCAGGATCTTCTCCGTTCCACCTGCAACCTTTTCTCCCCAACCTCCCCCCCACCCGCCCGGACCCCTATTTCCCTACCTACTCCTCTCTTGACCAGCTTTTAAGGAAGCAGGAAACGTTATTCTGACACGGATTGAACCGGATGGGGGAGTGGATTGGTGTCTGTAAGCCCCCAACTTAGCCCAGTTAATAGAACTTTCCTTCTCTTCATGCTTTCATTAAAAAAAATTCACACAAATAAAACAGCTGGATAAAAAATATTCATTACCTGACAACCTTTATTGGAGAAGTGAAAGGAACTTTGAAACAGTGCTTTGTAAGGCGCATCATACAAGGCCTTTGTTTTCTATGTGTGTGAGGACGCTGCCCCAGTCCCGCACTCCCACTCGGCCACCCAGTTTATTAAGATGTCACCCTGGTTGGCCACAGAATGGTGGTAACACCTTAGCCAGTTTCACTTTTACATGGGCAGAATGACTAGAGAAGACACTGATACTTCCAAAGTCAGGCAGCCTGCTGAGGTCCCAGATCCTTGTCGTCTGCATTGTGCTCTCCCACAATGATCCCAGCTCATGTTTAATTTACATGCACAGAAACCTTGTGAGCCCCCCACCCGCCCCCAGTGTGGGTCACAGTCTGCTCCACTATGCTGAGATTTCCCACCCTTCCTCCACGATCCAGAATCTTTTAAGGAGGATGAAAACAGAAACTAAAGAGACGAGAATGCTGGGAAGATACAGATAACACAAAAGGACAACCATGAGGTGGGGGGGCGGAGATCTAGACAAGAGGTTCAACTACGCAGTCACACTGCCAATTTAGAAAGATGTTAAGAGACACACTAGATAAAAATAAAACCCATCTAGCTCCCTTCTTCCACAAGATATTTTAATGCAGCAAGCAAAAATACTACATCCTTCTTGTAGTAAGCACTGTTAGTATTCAACACTTTAACATTTAGGGTGCATCACATAAAAACAAAGTCATTTGCTTTTGCACAAATCAAAAAAATGTAGCAAATCAATAAAATGGCAAAATCAGGAGGAAAAATTCTAATTTTCCCTCAAAATACAGAAAATTTTAGATTAATTTGTGGACAATAGATGTTTGCAGCCTCATATAGAGCTTCTGTTGCCAATTGAAAAATGAAAAAAAAATCATCCTGACATAGGATGTTCCAACAGCCTGATTCACAAAAAAAAAAAAAAAAAAAAAAAAAGACAATTTATTCTACATTGAATAAAATGTTTATTCAGGATGGTAACACAAGACAAATCATGCAAGAGCTCAGTAAAAACAAAACAAAACAAAAACAAAAATCAGAGAGTATAAGGAATGGCAATTGGTGCTGCCAATTAAGAAAAAAATGTAAATCATTTTACCACGTGAAAGTGATACGAAAACCCTTCTGAATCTGAGCAGGGACATGGCTGTAGTCATCTTTCGGAACTGTTAATTCAAGTGATAGGTGACTAACTTGTGTTCCAGTCCTCAGAGGAGTAGAGTCCTAGATCCAACCTGATCATTAATATCCCTCACACCCCACATTTAGACGGCAAGCGGCCCAGAAGCCCTGCCCCCCAAGTTCTCGGACACCCCTGGAACAATCTCAAAGTCACTCTTCTTAGCAAGAGAGTGGGGCAGGCACCTTTGGTGACTCTTAAACGAGACTCCATCTACATTCAGAATCTGAAAATTTTAGTAATGAAAACCCTAAGCTTGTGAGTCATCCTTACCGGCCTTACATGTAGTGTTGTGACGTCCAGGGAAGAATTTCCACATTCGGTGGGAAGAGATGTGAACGAAGATAGACCAGATTGAACATAGTGTCTCAGATTTCAAACAAATATAACTCATCTTTTGGCAAAAAATAAATATAGTGGAATGCAAATTTGATAGATGGAAGAATATATAATCTACCAACTGTCAAGGAGTACAATTTCATTGCAGACACAAAGAATCAAGAGTTTCAAAGAATTAAAAAAAAAAAAGTTTGCACTTATTCCTCACAAAATCTTCACTTTTGGAACTACCCCAATTGAAGCTACACACTGAATTTATTAATACAGCATTAAGTTTCTTTGTGTAAAAAAATCTTTGTACATAGTAATAAAAAAAGATAAGGCAAGATGCATTAAACAGAAACCTTCTGGTTCTTTTCCTCTGGGTTCTTACAGAGCCACTGATCACTATCTGCAACGAAAGAGTTAAGTTTCTGATTTTCCGTATCAAGCATCTTGTGCCTTTGCTGTGGTAAGAATTCTGTCCGAGCACCCTGAAGGACAGATGCTGGTGACGGTCTTTGGCACTTACGCTGGCAGACTGAGTTTCTTTCCCTTGAGTACTAGAATTTTAAAGAGAAGAAGAGAAAACAAAAGGTTACTGGTCTTGACAAGCTGATCATTTCCTTCTTCCTGTTCCTAGAAGTCTGTCACACTCACGACACTACAGAATAAGGCACAAGGAAAGTCTTTGGCACCAAAAGTTATTGGATTTTGGTGTCAATAAAAAAAGCCCCCTGAACTATGAGTATGTCATGTACTCCTATACTGGAATTTTCTTCATGTGCCTTGATATCACAGCAATTGAATTTAAGAAACACAAATTCGACTGAAACTGTCACTAAATTCACATTTTCTTCTCATTACTTTCTCCCCTAATCAACATATAATAAAATATAACTGTTAATACGTACAGAGGTCTATGAAATTTGGGATGTTAAAAAAGAGAGAAAATATATATCCCCCTGTAGGTACCAATTCTACCATGAGGAACTATACTGTATAGCAAGGGTTCTTGGCCTGAGTCTGTGGTTGGGTTACAGGGGCTCCTGAATCCCCTAAAACTATAGGCATACATTTGTGTGTACATGCATTAATACACCTTTTTTAAAAAAATGAGGACCACAGTTTTCATCAAATTTTTGTGGCATCTGCATGTCCTATATTCATATAAACGTGAAAATATACATACACAAGGATACTCATCTAAGCACAGTTTTTGTTGTGTTTTTGTTTTTTGAGAGTGAGTGAGTGTGCGCAAGCTGGGGGGTGGGGGCAGAGGGAGAGAGAGAATCTTAAGCAGGATGCACGCTCAGCGCAGAGCCCGACACGGGGCTCAATCTTATGACCCTGAGATCGTGACCTGAGCTGAAATCAAGAGCTGGATGCTTAACCAACTGAGCCACCCAGGCGCCCCAAGCACTGGATTTTAATAGCAGAAAATCAGTAACAGCCTGAATACCCATAAACAAGGGGCTGAGTAAGTAAATTATGATATAATATACATAATGAAATATTCTATGACTATTGAAAACTATGTAGATTTCTATCTACTGACTTGAAAAACTGTGAATGGTGGAAAACAGATTATAGAACAGCATGTGTAGCTGAACTCACGTGTCTGTGCATATGCACATACACACACATATACATATATGCATAGACCTATCTGGAATTACGTTTATCAAAACATTAACTACGATCATCTCTGAGTGGCAGGGTTTCAGGTGATTGTTTTCAGAATTATAAGAGCAGATTAAATTTCTTATAATCAAAATGTGCTATTACAGAAAAACAATAAAGCTACAGAAAAGAAAAAAAGCTGAAAACCCTGTGTTTTTTTGGAAATGTTTTTCTGAAACCAGCTGTGCTTGATGAGCTAGTGCCAGACTAGGACCATGCTGGGCCAGGGAGCTCCTAGAAACACGGGGCTGCGGGAACAAAGCAGGGAGGAGGCAGCCCGGGGTACCTTTTGTTATGTACAGGTAGAAGAAGTCGCAGTATAGAATAGTCTGGACAACGCCGGCCACCACAGCAATGAGGTCGAAGAAGCCCTCGAAGTAGAAGCGCCAGATCCAGTTGACGAGATAGAGGGCGCGGTAGAGGCCCAGGAAGAACAGGTAGTGGGTGGTGATGGTCTCCGCTTCCCCTGTCTTGCTGATCATGAACAGCTGAGGAAGGATAGCCACGGACTCCAGGTAGATGGAGAAGGTCCACAAAATCTGCAAGAGAGACCAGAGGCTTCAGTCGGCACCCAGCACCCGCCACGGGCTCAAAGGAAATACTCCCGCTTTACTGTGGAGCAGCACGAAGAGCCAGGAGTCTGAGCAACGGAGTACGAAACGGAATAAATCTCGGAAACGGGAGTGACACTAAAGAGGCACATTCCCAATGACAAGCTAGGTGACCCGGACACCTCTGCCTCTGTGACTCTTCGTGACCCATCTCTCCAACATCTCCTTCCCGGTACAATTTTCCGTGAATCTACCTATGTGTCTCTCCAGGGTAAGCCTGTTCCACTCCGAATCCAGGGTACTCTCTGCCAGGGGGCACGAGGCTGACAGGGCCCTTTATGCTCCCACTGCTGCTTTTCCTTATCCGCTGGTCTCCTTCACAGACTATCTCAATATTTCCACCATCTTTCTTAGTCTTTGGGCTTTCCTGGTGTGGTTAAATCAAAGGGATAAGTAACGCGAATTGTAATTATGCAAACACTCTGCCCAACGTGATTCGCACGGACGACAGAAAGCTTTGCAGGTAGCCCCGGGAACGTTCTGAATCCATGAGCAGCGGCTTCCCCAGGACGCTACGGGAAGGGCGAGACACCCAGGAGTGCAGGGCACCGCGCAAACCACTTTTCCTCCACACCTGCTGTATAGCAACACTGCTTAGGGGATTGGCACACGGTTATCGATGTGCAACAGCCCTAGGTGAAGAAGAAACAAAGTTGGGTCTGACTGCAGAGAAGACCATGTTCTTCAAGCACTGGGATGGGCAAGGCACTGTGTTTGCTACCACAGAAGTCGGTTTATTCTCTGGAGGAGAATCCAGCAATAATCTGTCAGCAGATGCCCAAAGAGCTGGGGGCTTAATGCCGGTCTGTGATTTATTTACACCAAATAGTGTACGCTGCACCAGAAGCTTGCCAAATCGCGAAACCAAACAAACCAGAAACACCCACATTACCTGCACACCCGAGTGTTTCCCTAAATAACCTCTCAACTAACCTCCAGAGGAGAGAAATCATGATTGACCAGGAAGGAGAGGCCTCCCACAGGGACCACCAGAAACTCCACTCGGAAGGTATCATGATTTCCGTCATAGGTCGCCTTAAATTTCATGTAGATCAGGTACACTGTGGCATAGGAGCAGGCAATGTAGATGAGCTAAAGACAGAAGAAAAGCACAGGTCATCCTTACTTTACAACGGCTCCAACGGCCTTGGCTTTCTACAGCATCCACATATTCACAAAAGCAAGATCTTTTTCCTTAGCTTCTTTATTTCAAAATTTAAATACAATAAAGTTCACTTCTGGGAGTACATAGTTCTACTAGTCATATAACCACCACCACAATCAAGACACAGAATAGTCCTATCACGTGACCCTCCCACCAGAAACCTCCCTCATGCTGCCCCTTTGCAGTCAAGCCGTTCCCTGAGGCCCGACCTCTGGAGATAACTGATCCTCTTTTTTTTTTTTCTTTTTGGATAACTGATATATTCCTGGTCCCAGCAGTTTATAGTCCCCCAGAATACCAAATAAATGGAATCATACAGTATGTCCCTGTAAGACCGGCTTCTTTCAAGTACCATAATGCATTCTCGATGTAACCACATCATTGCGTGTATTAATGACTGGTTCCTTTTTACTGCAGTGAAAGGAGGACTGCACTGTGCAGGTGAACCACAGTGTGTTCGTCCACACACTAGCTTCGGACAGGTGGGCTGGAATTGCTGTCAGCTTGGGGAACAGCGGAAAAAGCTGCTATGAACCTTTATGCCCACGCATGTGTATGAACTGAACTTTTCATTTCTCTTGGGTAAGTACCTGGGAATGGGATTGCTGGATCATATGTTAAAAGTGTACCTTTAACTTTATAAGAAACTGCCAAAGAATGTATTTTTAATCTCACTTAAAAAACAACAAGAACAACAAAAAACAAACAAACAAAAAAACAACTATTAGATAGCAGGTTAGGAAAAAAAACCCCACCAAGTTCAGTGGAGTTCAAAACCAGTACACTTCCCTCCGGCATGAGGGTATTTCTTAGCCAGCGCTTTTCTTCTCCTTTTTATTTGACAGAGGCAGATAGTGAGAGAGGGAACACAACCAAAGGGAGTGGGAGAGGGAGAAGCAGGCTTCCCTCCGAGCAGGGAGCCCAATGATGGGGCTCCATCCCAGGACCCTGGGATCATGACCTGATCCGAAGGTAGAAGCTTAAGGACAGAGCCACCCAGGTGCCCCTTTTCTTTTCTAAGATGTATTCATTTATTTGAGAGAGAGAGAGGGAGAGCGAGAAAGAGTGAGGGGAGGGGCAGAGAGAGAGGATCTCCAGCAGACTCTTCAACAAGTGGGGAATAAATCTCACAACCCATGAGATCATGACCTGAGCTGAAACCAAGGGCTGGAGGCTTAACCGACTGAGCCACCCAGGCGCCACTAGCTCCCGCTTTTCTAAAGAAAAGACACAATGTAGCTCACATTTAACTTTACAATGCTCAGTTTTACCTACACTGTGTTACTTTAATACAGAACATTAAGATCATTCTATGAAATTTTGTCTGGTAGCATACCAAAAGCAAAACCAAAAGTAAGGGATAACTTGTCAAACGCTGCCGCCTACAAGGGAGCTCACATAGCAGTGCAGTGTTCAAAGGCTTACAGTCATGTTATGTTCTTTCATATTCAAAAGGTCAAACACCATATAGTCACGTGACCCAAAGGAAAAGTCTGTTATTCTGAAATTATAGCAATTTTCAGAATGCAGAATTTTAGGCCCAAGAACCAAAGGGCAGTTTGAGTCTCTGAATGGAAACAAGTGGGATATTAGTTGAGCTACCCGGTACTACTCCTTCAGAAAAGCACCTCATGAAACTTAATGAAGACGTCTGGGCCAATGACTTACCAGGAAAATGAGAGCAATCATCAAGCCCTCCTATGCTTAAAAACAAAGTAAAGATACTAAACTATCCCTAGCACCTCATCATGGAGTTATATTTGCAAATAAATAGTTGGCAAGGTATTAAAGTTGTTGGTCATACCCAAACTACCAAAAAAAAAAAAAAAATTGAGATTAACACCTTATATTGTTAGAGTTCTCTCAACATACAAATATATGTATACATGGATATGAATAAAATAACATATAATCTACATGTATCAATAAAATACATATACATTTACACAGAGTCTCTTCCAGCACAACATGCAGCCAAGGCATGCGATATAGCCAGGGGTCCCTCCCCAGCGCCTGGAACATGGCCGGCCAAGATTCTGTCCATAAAGGCTTAGGCGACCACGGGAGTAAGCAGCTGCTTTCCCCCTCTCCCTGTGCTTGGCATTTAAAGTCAAAGCAATGAGCACATAAAATATGGCTCTCACTCCTCTGATTTTCAGGACATGCTGGGAAGCCAGAACCACAAGAAGGATTCTTCTGAAAGGCAAGTATCCTGAGGGCCACGGAGGAGGTTCTTGCTCACATGCTTGTAATACTGGCAGTTTTAACTTGCCTGGACAGCAAGCAGGGACCTACCCGTGTTAAGCAGGCTCATTATTTCCTGGACACAAGGCTCCGGTCACTTAGTGACGAAGAATGAAATGATTCTGGGTAACTCAAGTCTGTTTCTCAGTAAAGACCACAGACCCAAATATGGCTTTGTCTACTCTGACCTGTGCTTATAAAAAATGCTTTGTAAGTACAGCACCAAGAGGCCTCAGGTTAAACAGGACATCCTCAGCTGGCCTACAATAATCCAGTGCCTACAGCACCGCCCCGCACGCAGGTGCTCAGAAAGCTGTGCAGAACGATGCCTTTCTTTCACGCCCTGAGAGTGCCATACTTCTCCCTCCCGGCACCCATCGCAAACTGCCGTCACCCACTGAGTACTGGGATGATCAGTCTACTCTCCCCAGCCAGACACTAAGTCTTCTGCTTGTTTGCGGCCCCATCCTCAGCGCTAGGGAAGTGCCCGGCGCTCTGGGTGCTCAGTATTAGTTCAAGGACGGTGCGAAACCGAGGCCTCGGCGAGCGGGAAGCACGTGCCCCCTCGGGTCCACAAGATGTGAGGTGGTACGCAAACGCCCTGCGTTTTAGTAACTGTAGGTTTTCATGTGGATTCAGAAAAAACAGAAGGACACCGAAGCCACGGATACTAACGCTTAGGACAAGCTAAAAGGTTTTAGAGACACGTTAAACAAGTTATGGTACAGCTGTTATTTAGGCATGGAAGGAGTAACAAAGATGGCACACAAAGAAGTTGACAGGACATGGAATTCGCAGGAAAAGAAAGAAAAGAAGTAGAAGCCTACACATGATCCCTCCCACAACAGCGAAACGAGGTATTGCAGCGAGGAGCCCCGGCTTTCATTCCTCATGCTGAGCCACCCTGCTGGGTCTCCCAGGGAGTCTGTAATTTCGCACGGCTTGAAAACATAATAGTTATCCCTCTTTCTTACAGGGTTATCAAGAGCTTTAGAAGTTTATCATACTCAAGGAACTTAAGGTTAAAAAATCTCTAACTGCAAAGCACTTTAATTAAACAGATACTCCTCTGAAACAGAAAATGCGCTTAATGATAACGCTCTTCCCACTTCTATGTACAAGGTGGTCTAAAAGTGCTTAGGTCGAGAACAGCATGTTTAGACATTATTCTAGAAGATGTCTAAGTACACAACTGACACAAACTTAATAGTTGCCACAGGCCCGCGAATTATGGATAAAATGCATTCCAATTGGATGCCATACCATACCTTCATAGATGTATTATATAATGAAATAAATGAAGTAAAAAGGTCCAGGTAACGAGTTGTGAAGACCAGTGCAAAGAGAAGCTGGCTTTTTCCAGAAATACCTAAGGAAACAAAAGGAAAGTATTAGAAAAGCCTCTCTTAGAGAAGCTGAACCCTTCCAGCAGAGAACACTATAGGAAGTGCAGATACGGAAAGTGGGCTCCAGGGTCAGAGGCTGCTATCTGGGATGACTTCATAAATGAGGACAGCCGTCGTTTTCCTTTCGCTTTACATTCCTGAACATGCTCCTTGGGGGAGGCTCTAAGAACCCTGCAGTCTCATCACGCTGGGTGACTTGCCTCGATCATGCCAACACCAATACGCCAGGATGTACTGTTCAAATGAGTATTTTTCTTTCCTTCTTAAAAGATTTTATTTATTTATTTATTTATTTGAAAGAAAGAGAGAGTGCAAATGGGGGAGGAGCAGAGGGAGAGGGACCAAGCAGACTCTGCCCCGACACCGGGTTCGATCTCACGACACCATCATGCCCTGAACCAAAATCAAGAGTTTGGATGCTCACAGGCTGAGCGCCCCCCAAGTGCCTCTGAATGCTGTATTTTCCAAATATATATTTTAGGTAAGAATAATTTTACTACTTCTGCTGATACTAACTTGCTTGCTAGCTTTAACATCTTTCTTTCCACTTTAAAACAATGTCTCTCAAGATGACAAACCTTCACGGCCTGGGGGGTCTCATCTGATTAAGGAGATAAGGAACCCAGTGAGGAACACTGCTGCAGTGAGCAGTAACACAGTAACGTCACTCCCTAGAGCAGTGGTATGGCCTCCCAAGGTAACTTATTTTGTAAAGGTGCATTTCTTGGACAGGTTAAGATTTTTAAAAACTCCATCTCTTAGATTCATCACAGCCATAAAAATGTTGCTCTGGATGCCACGGCAACAAGAGGGTGGGAACCTACTATGACAGTCCTCAGAAGCAGCAGTCTTTAAAAAAAACAAAAACCAAAAAACCAAAAACAAACAAAAAACAGAAAAACAACCACCACCACCAACAACAACCACCTTAAATCTGCTCCCACCTCCAACCACCAGCGCTCCTCCAGAGCACTGTTGCAGCACGTGGAGATCATCTGCGGAAGTGTCGAAGGTCACGTAGTGTGTGTAGTCAGCTTTTCTGACATCTATATTTAGCCAAATATTTATGCGACAAAGGATGTGAACTATGGGTTTCAGATGACAATTGAGCGAATTCATGAAGGAAACAGAATCTGACTACCCAGTCAGAATCCACCCACCTTCCTCTATGTTGCAAACTTCACACCATTAAACATTTCAGTAAGCATGTATTTTGCAGAAATGTTGCTGCACCAAATTATTAGCAACAGTCTTACGGAATGTGGAAATTACACTGTTTTTAAATGATATTTTACAACATAATTTTGTGGCTTGTTGAAACTAAAAGCCGGGATACAAGAACGTTCCTTTCTTTTCTTTCTTTCTTTCTTTTTTTTTAAAGATTTTATTTATTTATTTGACAGAGAGAGATCACAAGTAGGCAGAGAGGCAGGCACAGAGAGACAGGGGAAGCAGGCTCCCTGCTGAGCAGAGAGCTCGATGCAGGGCTCCGATCCCAGGACCCTGAGATCATGACCTGAGCCGTAGGCAGAGGTTTAACCCACTGAGCCACCCAGGCACCCCAAGAATGTTACTTCCTACATATGAATAATTGCAGTTCTCGTCTATTCACAAAAATACCTAAACAAAACCTGAAGAAAAAGTTGACTCTCTCCTTCTGGATCAATCAATAGTAACCAATTTCAAGGGTCAAAGGTGGAGATACAGTTTGCTCCTTTTAGTTTTCCCCAGTAATGGGGAGCTTTTTTTCTTATCAGAGATCAGTGTTCCAAAGGAGAACAATGAGGCTGCCAGTCACATAGAGACATGGGAGAGAGAGAAAGAGAGGAGATGAAGGGGAAAAGGACAGGGAGCATGCAGTTCACATCTGGTATTTGTTGAAGCTTTGAGAGAAAAATTCCCAGTTCCTTTCCCATCTGGTTCTTTCCAATATTTTATTTTTTTATTATTATTTTTCAAAGATTTTATTTATTTATTTGACAGGGATCACAAGTAGGCAGAGAGGCAGGCAGAGAGAGGGAGAAGCAGAGAGCCCAATGTAGGGCTCAATTCCAGGACTCCGGGACCATGACCTGAGCCGAAGGCAGAGGCTTTAAGCCACTGAGCCACCCAGGCGCCCCTCCAGTATTTTAAAGATTTTTTTTTTTTTTTTCCCCCAGATAGATCACAAATAGGCAGAGAGGCAGGCAGAGAGAGAGAGGAGGAGGAGGCAGGCTCCCTGCTGAGCAGAGAGCCCGATGCAGGACCCTGAGACCCAGGACCCTGAGATCATGACCTGAGCCGAAGGCAGAGGATTTAACTACTGAGCCACCCAGGCGCCTCTCCAGTATTTTAAATAAAAAAATTTATAGAATACATACAGGCAAATCTGTTATAAAGGCTTTATTCTAACGGAACTTCGGAAGCCATACAGATTTGCGATTTTTCCTCATTTTCAGCATTCTTAGACTCCAAACCCAGGACTATCGTATCGCTTTTACCACTCCCTTTGAGACCCAACTCACATACCACTTTCTCGGGGAAGTCATCTTTGAAGACACCTCCCCCTTGGTGATGTTTATTCATTCAGCAAGTACATAATGGGGACTTCCCACCAGCTGCCGCCCTAGCTCCTAGTACGGTCTTACAAAATACACTGCGATTATCTGGTTGCCTGTCTTCCCACTTTCACGACAGACACTGAGATCTCCAAAGGTTAGGGTCATGTCTTACCCATTTTGTATTCTCTGTGCTCAGCTCTGGGCCTGACACACAGCAGGGCTAAGAAAATACCTGCCGAATGAATGAACAAATGGTCCCCAAAAAAAAGGAAAAAAGAGAATTCATTTTATTTTCATGTCATGGGGTAAATTCTCATTTTGTGGTATTTTGGGATAACATTTCCAAAGAGTATCTAAGTCATACTGTGTCCCTATGACCGTAAATAGGCAATGGTCTTTGGGCTCTGCCCTAATTTACTGCCAACCAGAGGGTGGGAGAGTCCCCTGAGCAGGAGAGGAGTGAGAGACAGGCAGTATGTGGCCTGTAGCTTGTCTCACGGCGCAGAATCCGCGTAGGACCTGCCATGCTGGAAATCTAAGTGTGCTTATACAGTTCTACCCTAGTCTTCCTGGTCTGGAATCCTGATCAGGAAGCAGCAATTTCTTCCTTTAAGACAGAAAAACTGTCCTGTCTTCACAGATGGCAGAGATCCCAGCTGAAGCCAGAGAGGGCAGGGGCAGGAATCTCTTTCCGGGAGAGAACCTAGTCACTTTCTCCCTGTTTGGGACCAAAGCATGTGAAGGCTGGCAGTTAACAAGCTATCAAGAATATTCATTCTAGGGGCACCTGGGTGGCTCAGTGGGTTGAGCCTCTGTCTCTGGCACAGGTCATGATCTCAGGGTCCTGGGATCGGGCCCCACATCGGGCCCTCTGCTCAGCAGGGAGCCTGCTTCCCCAACCCCCACCTCTCTCTGCCTGCCTCTCTGCCTACTTGTGATCTCTCTCTGTCAAATAAATAAATAAAATCTTAAAAAAAAAAAAAAAAGAATATTCATTCTAGGTCGCTCAGTCGGTTAAGCAGCTGCCTTTGGCTCAGGTCATGATCCCAGGGTCCTGGGATTGAGTCCCACATTGGGCTCCCCGCTCAGCAGAGAGCCTGCTTCTCCCTCTCCTTCTGCCTGCCGCTCTGCCTACTTGTGCGCTCGCGCTCTCTCTCTCTCTTTCTCTGTCAAATAAATAAATAAAATCTAAAAAAAAAAAAAAAAAAAAAAGAATATTCATTCTAAATGTTTCTGAAATGGCCATCCCAATACCAAATGCACCAAATATTTATATTAATGAGTATACCATTTTAAATGGAAATCAGTCATTAAACCCAACACCATTTCTGTCATTTCCCATTGAGCCAAGTTAGGTTTAATACAATCCTACAACTATACACTACATTGTGTATTACTTTAAATCATGCTGCAGGTTGAAAGTTGCATTTCTTTTATTTCCAGTGGTTTACAGAGCAGAACCCTCGACCAAAGAGAAAAGCCTTTCACAACTTATTTTTGTCCTGGTAACGGCTGAGCTGCAAGCAAGTTCTGTAAGTCAGACCACCAGGACAGTCTGCACTGTCAACCAGGCAGCATTCAATAAGGGTCCCAGGCACCATACTCCAACCCACTGTCCCTAAGGATGTGGATACTCTCGTAAAGACCATTAACAGGGGGCGCGTGGGTGACTCAGTGGGTTAAAGCCTCTGCCTTCAGCTCAGGTCATGATCCCAGGGTCCTGGGACCAAGCCCAAGTCGGGCTCTCTGCTCAGCAGGGAGCCTGCTTCCTCCTCTCTCTCTGCCTGCCTCTCTGCCTACTTGTGATCTCTGCCAAATAAATGAATGAAAATCTTAAAAAAAAAAAAAAAAAAAAAAGACTACTAACGGTGCCTGGAACCAGAAGCCTAAGAGTCAGGAGCTGACTTATAACACAACTCTTGGGACTTAGGAGAAAAGAGAGGCTCTGGAGCCAGACAGACTGGGTTTAAGCTCAGCCCCTGAACACACACAGTAAGCCTGGGCCCATTACATACATTGCGCCCCACCCACAACCTCACTTTCTGCATCTGTCTAATGGGAACAAATTATGACAACTTTGTGGGACTGTTAAAGAAAAAGTGCTCTATACTATACCTGCCACAATGGAAATGTTTGATAAATGACAGTTCTTACTAGGTACTGTTTCACTGTTTTTTCTTTTCAAAGAAATCCATGCTATTTAATTAAAAATTCCAACTGGGCTAAAATATATGGAAAAAAACACAAAAGGACCTTTTGACATCCCTCCCACCTCCATTTTAAATGAAACTTTCCAGGCTTTTCAAAAGCCAGGGTGGCTCAGTCAGTTAAGAGGCTTCCTTTGGCTCAGGTCATGATCCCGGGGTCCTGGAACAGAGCCCCACATCGGGCTCCCCGCTCAGTGGAGAGCCTGCTTCTTCTTC